TTAAAAATATATATATATATGTATGCACTCACTAACTGTAAGTCGCTCTGGATAAGAGCATCTGCTAAATAACTCAAATGTAAATGTTTTAAAGTCTCCATTGGCCTAATGGCAAAATCCCTGAGCAGTTTCCTTCCTCTCCGGCAACTGAGTTAGGAAGGACGCCTGTATCTTTGTAGTGACTGGGTGTATTGATGCACCATCCAAAGTGTAATTAATAACTTCACCACGCTCAAAGGGATATTCAATGTCTGCTTTTAAATGTTTTACTCATTTACCAATAGGTGCCCGTCTTTGCAAGGCATTGGAAAACCTCCCTGGTTTTTCTGGTTGAATCTGTGTTTGAAATGCACTGCTTGACTGAGGGACCTTACAGGGAATTTTATGTGTGGGGTACAGAGATGCGGAAGTCATTCAAAAAATAATGTTAAACCCTATTACTGCAGGCTTCCCGAGTGACACAGCGGTAAATAATAGACCGAAACATACAGTACAGTTTAGGTTTGTCAAATTCCGGTCGTTTTCCCCAAAATTCCTGGAATCAGAGGGGAATAAGCAGGAAATCCAGAATCCTCCAACTAGGATTTCCGGAAAGCCTCGGAATTTGAGGGAAAGTTAACAGAATTTTGCAACTCTAGTACAGTATGTTATGTTACCCTATCAACTGGATTACAGGGCATAGCCATTGGGTGGTAGGGTAGGGACAAGGCATAGCCATTGGGTGGTAGGGTAGGGACAAGGCATTGCCATTGGGTGGTAGGGTAGGGACAAGGCGTTGCCATTGGGTGGTAGGGTAGGGACAAGGCATTGCCATTGGGTGGTAGGGTAGGGACAAGGCATTGCCATTGGGTGGTAGGGTAGGGACAAGGCATTGCCATTGGGTGGTAGGGTAGGGACAAGGCATTGCCATTGGGTGGTAGGGTAGGGACAAGGCGTTGCCATTGGGTGGTAGGGTAGGGACAAGGCATAGCCATTGGGTGGTAGGGTAGGGACAAGGCATTGCCATTGGGTGGTAGGGTAGGGGCCCTACCGCAGGGCAACCCAATATGGTGACCAATGACAACACAGTGGGTCAGATCCAGATTTGTAGAACCATAATCCTCTCATGTAAGCTGCTAGTTGCTGTGCCACTGTTGTCATCCCCTGAGCTAAAACAATAAAAAGCTCTTGGCAAACAGTTATTAGGGTTGGGAATATTAGGATGTTGTGCTTTGTGTGTGTGTGTGTGTGTGTGTGTGCGCTTTGTGTTTGTGTAGCATTAACACTCACTCAATGTTATCTACTTGATGTAAATAAAAGCCAATTTTAAGAACAATAGTTATATTTACATAATATCACTATAATAACTCAGACATGTAAAGCACCAAAACAACAGCCAGCCAGTCAGACAGAGACATAGTACAGATGAGGCCTTTTACTATGCAGGCCTGAAAGGTTGTTTGAGATGATACCTGGGGAGGAGGAAGAGACCTAAAGAAAAGAGGAGAGACAGAGATGTTGAGAATTCAGAAGAGAGAGAGGAGAGAAGAGAGAGGGGAGGTGGGGGGAGAGGGAGAGGTGAGACAAAGAGGAAAAAGGAGAGAGAAAGAGGGGAATGAGAAAGAGTGAGGCTTGAGATGATGATAATTAGATGTAAATGGAAAGAAAGAAGGAGGCGAGGGAAAGTATTTAGAGGTGAAGACCCAGTGAGAGAATTAGTATTGATAGTATAAGATCGACAGTGAATAAGAAAGGGGTTTTCCTTGAACAGAGATAATTTAGAACATGTAAAATACATCTTAGGGGACAGAGAAGAGCGTCAGAGGTGAGTCGAGTAGGCAGTCACTAAAAGGGCAGATGATGGAAGGTAGGGAGAGACAATACCAAAATGCAGTGGATGAGAGTTGGAAGATAATTAGACGAAGGCGACAGTTGAGCTAGGAGAGGATGACGACTGATTGGAGGTACACTATGAGACAGAGAGGAAAAGTTTCGAGAACCCGTGCCCTAGAGTACAAGGAGAAAGGTGAGAGACATGGGAGAGATCTAGAGGGAAGGGAAGACAGAGCTGGGAGAGGCAGCAGAGGAGGCGAGAAGAGGGGAGAGAAGGAGAAGAGAAGAGGGGAGACAGAGAGGACAGAGGGAGAAGAGAGAGGAGAAGAGAGAGGGGAGAGAGAGGAAGGGGGAGAGAGGAGAGAGACAGAGAGGAGAAAGGAGAGAGAGACAGAAGGGGAAAAAAAGTAGAGAGAGGAGAGGAGAGAGACAAGAGAGAGAGAACGAGAGTAAAAGGAGAGAGAACAGAGAGGAAAAAGGGAGAGGGAGAGAGGAAGGGGAGAAAGGAGAGAGACAGAGAGAGGGAGAGAGAGAAGGGGGGAGAGAGGAGAGAGACAGAGAGGAGAAAGGAGAGCGAGACAGAGTGGGGGAGACAGAGAAGGAGGGGGGAGAGAGAGAGGAGAAAGGAGAAGGGAGAGAAGACAAGAGAGGGGGAAGGGAGACGTAGAGAAGAGGGAAGGAGAGAGAGACAGAGAGAGGGAGAAAGAAGGAGAGGGAGAAGAGAGAGAGAGAGAGAGAGAGAGAGAGAGAGAGAGGAAAACAAGTGAGTCAGAGGAGTGAGTGAGTGTTTGGGAGTGTGTTTTGAGCACCACTACAAAAGCCAACATTCATCATGTTGCAGCAGGTATGTAGATCATCTCCTTTATTGTCTCTCCATTAACACTCTGAGTCATCAAAGTCTCTGGTTATGTCCCAAATGACACCCTATTCCCTATGTAGTGCACTACTTTTGACCAGGGCCAATAGTGTTTAGAGTAGTGTCATTTGGGATGCAGCCTCTCTTTTCTCTCTGAACAGCTCTAAAAGTGGCATGTACTTTTTCAACAGCCTAGTGCTGGATGAAGTGTCTTACCAACAGCCTAGTGCTGGGTGAAGAGTCTGACAGCCTAGTGCTGGGTGAAGAGTCTTACCAACAGCCTAGTGCTGGATGAAGTGTCTTACCAACAGCCTAGTGCTGGGTGAAGAGTCTGACAGCCTAGTGCTGGGTGAAGAGTCTTACCAACAGCCTAGTGCTGGATGAAGTGTCTTACCAACAGCCTAGTGCTGGGTGAAGAGTCTTACCAACAGCCTAGTGCTGGGTGAAGAGTCTTACCAACAGCCTAGTGCTGGATGAAGTGTCTTACCAACAGCCTAGTGCTGGGTGAAGAGTCTGACAGCCTAGTGCTGGGTGAAGAGTCTTACCAACAGCCTAGTGCTGGGTGAAGAGTCTTACAGACTAGTGCTGGGTGAAGAGTCTTACCAACAGCCTAGTGCTGGGTGAAGAGTCTTACCAACAGCCTAGTGCTGGGTGAAGTGTCTTACCAACAGCCTAGTGCTGGGTGAAGAGTCTTACCAACAGCCTAGTGCTGGATGAAGTGTCTTACCAACAGCCTAGTGCTGGGTGAAGAGTCTTACCAACAGCCTAGTGCTGGGTGAAGAGTCTTACCAACAGCCTAGTGCTGGGTGAAGTGTCTTACCAACAGACTAGTGCTGGGTGAAGAGTCTTACAGACTAGGGCTGGGTGAAGAGTCTTACCAACAGCCTAGTGCTGGGTGAAGAGTCTTACAGCCTAGTGCTGGGTGAAGAGTCTTACAGCCTAGTGCTGGGTGAAGAGTCTTACCAACAGCCTAGTGCTGGGTGAAGAGTCTTACAGACTAGTGCTGGGTGAAGAGTCTTACCAACAGCCTAGTGCTGGGTGAAGAGTCTTACCAACAGCCTAGTGCTGGTGAAGAGTCTTACAGCCTAGTGCTGGGTGAAGAGTCTTACCAACAGCCTAGTGCTGGGTGAAGAGTCTTACCAACAGCCTAGTGCTGGATGAAGAGTCTTACCAACAGCCTAGTGCTGGGTGAAGAGTCTTACAGCCTAGTGCTGGGTGAAGAGTCTTACAGACTAGTGCTGGGTCAAGAGTCTTACAGCCTAGTGCTGGGTGAAGAGTCTTACCAACAGCCTAGTGCTGGGTGAAGAGTCTTACCAACAGCCTAGTGCTGGGTGAAGAGTCTTACCAACAGCCTAGTGCTGGGTGAAGAGTCTTACCAACAGCCTAGTGCTGGGTGAAGAGTCTTACCAACAGCCTAGTGCTGGGTGAAGAGTCTTACCAACAGCCTAGTGCTGGGTGAAGAGTCTTACCAACAGCCTAGTGCTGGGTGAAGAGTCTTACCAACAGCCTAGTGCTGGGTGAAGTGTCTTACCAACAGACTAGTGCTGGGTGAAGAGTCTTACCAACAGCCTAGTGCTGGGTGAAGAGTCTTACCAACAGCCTAGTGCTGGGTGAAGAGTCTTACCAACAGCCTAGTGCTGGGTGAAGAGTCTTACAGCCTAGTGCTGGGTGAAGAGTCTTACAGCCTAGTGCTGGGTGAAGAGTCTTACAGCCTAGTGCTGGGTGAAGAGTCCACTAGGTGAAGGGTCCACTAGGTGGACTCATCTCACAAATATATAAATGTCATCGTCATACATACTTCTCTGATTTGGTTGGAACTGAAAGCGAAAGAAAATACCAAATATCCAGTTTCACACAGCTCCACATAGGCCTAGTGGTTCATATTTTCATCATGACAATTGGCGAGGCATATGTGTACCAGGGACGGGTGGGTACCAATACACACCTCTGCCACCTAGTGGCCATATTGGTCATGACATTGAGATATAGCACAACTGTTTGTCTATCAGAGTGGAGAAGAGAGGTGCTGTACACAGACAAGAACCGGACTCATATTTCAAAACATTACATTTTTTAAATAACATATATTACATGTACATTTGTTGTTTACATACAATTACATCACAGATTCAACTATCCACTTCCAAAACTCTCATTTACTCAAAAGGTTTTGTTACTTCGAGTTGCACGATAAATACATATTATATTCCTCAAGCCATTGGCCTTGCAGTGGTCTTGGTGCTAACTTGGCCCTGTGTCTTCCCATCTTCCCCAGTCTATCCTGTTGCAAACTGTACAGCCGCTGGTCAGTGGTATTCCAAGGCAATCTCCATCACGCTGCCTTTCCCTGTCTGGACCGTTGCTGCTCCTGGTATTCCTTGGAGTCTTCCCAGGGACGAGGACCTCTGATGTTCCTCCACGCCTCCAGGTTGACATCCTTCATCTTCTGTTGTTGGGACAGAGAGACAACAGGATGGGGTTAGGGGCAGGTCTTTACTCCACACATCAGGACTACACAGAACACCAGGGGAGGTTTTAGTAGATAACAGAACACCAGGGGAGGTTTTAGTAGATAACAGAACACCAGGGGAGGTTTTAGTAGATAACAGAACACCAGGGGAGGTTTTAGTAGATAACAGAACACCAGGGGAGGTTTTAGTAGATAACAGAACACCAGGGGAGGTTTTAGTAGATAACAGAACACCAGGGGAGGTTTTAGTAGATAACAGAACCCCAGGGGAGGTTTTAGTAGATAACAGAACACCAGGGGAGGTTTTAGTAGATAACAGAACACCAGGGGAGGTTTTAGTAGATAACAGAACACCAGGGGAGGTTATAGTAGATAACAGAACACCAGGGGAGGTTTTAGTAGATAACAGAACACCAGGGGAGGTTTTAGTAGATAACAGAACACCAGGGGAGGTTTTAATAGATAACAGAACACCAGGGGAGGTTTTAGTAGATAACAGAACACCAGGGGAGATTTTAGTAGATAACAGAACACCAGGGGAGGTTTTAGTAGATAACAGAACCCCAGGGGAGGTTTTAATAGATAACAGAACACCAGGGGAGGTTTTAGTAGATAACAGAACACCAGGGGAGGTTTTAGTAGATAACAGAACCCCAGGGGAGGTTTTAGTAGATAACAGAACACCAGGGGAGGTTTTAGTAGATAACAGAACACCAGGGGAGGTTTTAGTAGATAACAGAACACCAGGGGAGGTTTTAGTAGATAACAGAACACCAGGGGAGGTTTTACTAGATAACAGAACACCAGGGGAGGTTTTAGTAGACAACAGAACACCAGGGGAAGTTTTAGTAGACAACAGAACACCAGGGGAGGTTTTAGTAGATCACATATTTTGAAATTAAAGATAAGGAAAAATCATATCTTTGAGTCTTCCAGGATGGTGTCAGAGAATATTCTACAGCATGTCAGTACAAGCACAGCTCAACTCCCCTCATCCCCCAGACACCTACCTGATACTCCTCCTCCAGGATTACAGACTGTTTCTGGGGATTCACCTTGGCCTCCAGGGTTGGATCCAGCTGGAGGAGAGAGAGAGGAGAGGAATGGTTACAGTCACACACACACACACACAAGGCAGTTCCTTATTCACACACAGACAGACAGATCACAGAAATATGATTTGGTGAACAAATGGTATATTAGATCATGAACATTCTGTGAAAGATACAGCTGGTATAAATCACAGCTCTCAACTCAATCGGGGGGAGAAGAAGCAAGTAAGCTCCAGAGTTCCAACACTTGCCAATCAAAATGAGAGGCAGCCTCCTCCCATCCTCCTCTTCGCTCCTCCCCCCTCCTCCTCCTCCTCGCTCCCCCCCTCCTCGCTCCTCCCCCTCCCCCCTTGCCCCCCCCCCCCCTCCCCCTCCTCCTCCCCCCCCTCCTCCCCCTCCCTCCCCCCCCCCCCCCCTCCTCCTCCCTTCGGCCTTCGGTCTTTCCTTAGGTGTAGTGTATTACAATGATTTTGAAATAAAGCCAATCATTATTTAATTTGTGTAGCACTTTGACAATGAGCACTTAACAAAACATTACACTAAAACCCCCAGAAGGTTGAGCGAAGTCCACCAGACCCCAGCGGGAGGGAAGAAACCTTGAGAGGAGACCAGGAGGGGAGAAACCTTGAGAGGAGACCAGGAGGTGTGGGAGGGGAGAAACCTTGAGAGGAGACCAGGAGGTGTGGAAGGGGAGAAACCTTGAGAGGAGACCAGGAGGTGTGGGAGGGGAGAAACCTTGAGAGGAGACCAGGAGGTGTGGGAGGGGAGAAACCTTGAGAGGAGACCAGGAGGTGTGGGAGGGGAGAAACCTTGAGAGGAGACCAGGAGGTGTGGGAGGGGAGAAACCTTGAGAGGAGACCAGGAGGTGTGGGAGGGGAGAAACCTTGAGAGGAGACCAGGAGGTGTGGGAGGGGAGAAACCTTGAGAGGAGACCAGGAGGTGTGGGAGGGGAGAAACCTTGAGAGGAGACCAGGAGGTGTGGGAGGGGAGAAACCTTGAGAGGAGACCAGGTGATGAGTCCCAAATGGCATTGTATTCCCTATATAGGGCTCTGGTTAAAAATAGTGCACTACATAGGCCAGGTGTCAAACTCATCCCACGGCGGGTCGAGTGTCTGCAGGTTTACACTCCTCCCTTGTACTTGATTGATGAATTAAGGTCACTGATTAGTAAGGAACTCCCCTCACCTGGTTGTCTAGGTCTTAGTAAGGAACTCCCCTCACCTGGTTGTCTAGGTCTTCATTGAAAGGAAAAACCCCAAAACCTGCAGACACTAGGCCCTCTGTGGAATGAGTTTTGACACCCCTGACATGGGAAACAGGGTGCCATTTGGGACACAAACCATGTTGGTCTGGGGGGGATAAATAGAACGAGTCAACGAGGAAGAGCTCTAATTGGGTCATAGAGACACAGTCAGTGGCTGTAAGACTTAACTAGGTCACTATCTGGGAGGGAAGATGGAGTGGTTAGTGACGTAGTGTACAGCGGCTGAGTGTGTCCTCTAGTTAACATGGGAAGTGATTATTTTCACTACATAGACGCACTGACTCCGACCCGCGGCTATTTGGCCAGGCCTAGGTATGCATATACGATTATTTATCTCACGCACACACACACACACACACTACACAAACACACTCACACAAACTTAAAACACACATAATCACAGCAGCAGCAGTCACTGCTGAGGACCAGGGTTGAGAGGGAGACTGTCACTGCTGAGGACCAGGGTTAAGGGGGAGACTGTCACTGCTGAGGACCAGGGTTAAGAGGGAGACTGTCACTGCTGAGGACCAGGGTTAAGAGGGAGACTGTCACTGCTGAGGACCAGGGTTAAGGGGGAGACTGTCACTGCTGAGGACCAGGGTTAAGAGGGAGACTGTCACTGCTGAGGACCAGGGTTAAGAGGGAGACTGTCACTGCTGAGGACCAGGGCTAAGGGGGAGACTGTCACTGCTGAGGACCAGGGCTAAGGGGGAGACTGTCACTGCTGAGGACCAGGGTTAAGGGGGAGACTGTCACTGCTGAGGACCAGGGCTAAGGGGGAGACTGTCACTGCTGAGGACCAGGGCTAAGAGGGAGACTGTCACTGCTGAGGACCAGGGCTAAGGGGGAGACTGTCACTGCTGAGGACCAGGGTTAAAGGGGAGACTGTCACTGCTGAGGACCAGGGTTAAGGGGGAGACTGTCACTGCTGAGGACCAGGGTTAAGGGGGAGACTGTCACTGCTGAGGACCAGGGTTAAGGGGGAGACTGTCACTGCTGAGGACCAGGGCTAAGGGGGAGACTGTCACTGCTAAGGACCAGGGCTAAGGGGGAGACTGTCACTGCTGAGGACCAGGGTTAAGGGGGAGACTGTCACTGCTGAGGACCAGGGCTAAGGGGGAGACTGTCACTGCTGAGGACCAGGGCTAAGGGGGAGACTGTCACTGCTAAGGACCAGGGTTAAGGGGGAGACTGTCACTGCTGAGGACCAGGGTTAAGGGGGAGACTGTCACTGCTGAGGACCAGGGTTAAGGGGGAGACTGTCCCTGCTGAGGACCAGGGCTAAGGGGGAGACTGTCACTGCTAAGGACCAGGGTTAAGGGGGAGACTGTCACTGCTGAGGACCAGGGTTAAGGGGGAGACTGTCACTGCTGAGGACCAGGGTTAAGGGGGAGACTGTCACTGCTGAGGACCAGGGTTAAGGGGGAGACTGTCACTGCTGAGGACCAGGGTTAAGGGGGAGACTGTCACTGCTGAGGACCAGGGTTAAGGGGGAGACTGTCACTGCTGAGGACCAGGGTTAAGGGGGAGACTGTCCCTGCTGAGGACCAGGGCTAAGGGGGAGACTGTCACTGCTAAGGACCAGGGTTAAGGGGGAGACTGTCACTGCTGAGGACCAGGGTTAAGGGGGAGACTGTCACTGCTGAGGACCAGGGTTAAGGGGGAGACTGTCACTGCTGAGGACCAGGGTTAAGGGGGAGACTGTCACTGCTGAGGACCAGGGCTAAGAGGGAGACTGTCACTGCTGAGGACCAGGGCTAAGGGGGAGACTGTCACTGCTGAGGACCAGGGTTAAGGGGGAGACTGTCACTGCTGAGGACCAGGGCTAAGAGGGAGACTGTCACTGCTGAGGACCAGGGCTAAGGGGGAGACTGTCACTGCTGAGGACCAGGGTTAAGGGGGAGACTGTCACTGCTGAGGACCAGGGCTAAGGGGGAGACTGTCACTGCTGAGGACCAGGGCTAAGAGGGAGACTGTCACTGCTGAGGACCAGGGCTAAGGGGGAGACTGTCACTGCTGAGGACCAGGGTTAAGGGGGAGACTGTCACTGCTGAGGACCAGGGTTAAGGGGGAGACTGTCACTGCTGAGGACCAGGGTTAAGGGGGAGACTGTCACTGCTGAGGACCAGGGTTGAGAGGGAGACTGTCACTGCTGAGGACCAGGGCTAAGGGGGAGACTGTCACTGCTGAGGACCAGGGTTAAGGGGGAGACTGTCACTGCTGAGGACCAGGGCTAAGGGGGAGACTGTCACTGCTGAGGACCAGGGCTAAGAGGGAGACTGTCACTGCTGAGGACCAGGGCTAAGGGGGAGACTGTCACTGCTGAGGACCAGGGTTAAGGGGGAGACTGTCACTGCTGAGGACCAGGGTTAAGGGGGAGACTGTCACTGCTGAGGACCAGGGTTAAGGGGGAGACTGTCCACTGCTGAGGACCAGGGTTAAGGGGGAGACTGTCACTGCTGAGGACCGGGGCTAAGGGGGAGACTGTCACTGCTGAGGACCAGGGTTAAGGGGGAGACTGTCACTGCTGAGGACCAGGGTTAAGGGGGAGACTGTCACTGCTGAGGACCAGGGCTAAGGGGGAGACTGTCACTGCTAAGGACCAGGGCTAAGGGGGAGACTGTCACTGCTGAGGACCAGGGTTAAGGGGGAGACTGTCACTGCTGAGGACCAGGGCTAAGGGGGAGACTGTCACTGCTGAGGACCAGGGCTAAGGGGGAGACTGTCACTGCTAAGGACCAGGGTTAAGGGGGAGACTGTCACTGCTGAGGACCAGGGTTAAGGGGGAGACTGTCACTGCTGAGGACCAGGGTTAAGGGGGAGACTGTCACTGCTGAGGACCAGGGTTAAGGGGGAGACTGTCCCTGCTGAGGACCAGGGCTAAGGGGGAGACTGTCACTGCTAAGGACCAGGGTTAAGGGGGAGACTGTCACTGCTGAGGACCAGGGTTAAGGGGGAGACTGTCCCTGCTGAGGACCAGGGTTAAGGGGGAGACTGTCACTGCTGAGGACCAGGGTTAAGGGGGAGACTGTCACTGCTGAGGACCAGGGTTAAGGGGGAGACTGTCACTGCTAAGGACCAGGGTTAAGGGGGAGACTGTCACTGCTGAGGACCAGGGTTAAGGGGGAGACTGTCACTGCTGAGGACCAGGGTTAAGGGGGAGACTGTCCCTGCTGAGGACCAGGGCTAAGGGGGAGACTGTCACTGCTAAGGACCAGGGTTAAGGGGGAGACTGTCACTGCTGAGGACCAGGGTTAAGGGGGAGACTGTCACTGCTGAGGACCAGGGTTAAGGGGGAGACTGTCACTGCTGAGGACCAGGGTTAAGGGGGAGACTGTCACTGCTGAGGACCAGGGCTAATAGGGAGACTGTCACTGCTGAGGACCAGGGCTAAGGGGGAGACTGTCACTGCTGAGGACCAGGGTTAAGGGGGAGACTGTCACTGCTGAGGACCAGGGTTAAGGGGGAGACTGTCACTGCTGAGGACCAGGGTTAAGGGGGGAGACTGTCACTGCTGAGGACCAGGGTTAAGGGGGAGACTGTCACTGCTGAGGACCAGGGTTAAGGGGGGAGACTGTCACTGCTGAGGACCAGGGTTAAGGGGGAGACTGTCACTGCTGAGGACCAGGGCTAAGAGGGAGACTGTCACTGCTGAGGACCAGGGTTAAGAGGGAGACTGTCACTGCTGAGGACCAGGGTTGAGAGGGAGACTGTCACTGCTGAGGACCAGGGTTAAGAGGGAGACTGTCACTGCTGAGGACCAGGGTTGAGAGGGAGACAGTCACTGCTGAGGACCAGGGTTAAGGGGGAGACTGTCACTGCTGAGGACCAGGGTTAAGGGGGAGACTGTCACTGCTGAGGACCAGGGTTAAGGGGGAGACTGTCACTGCTGAGGACCAGGGTTAAGGGGGGAGACTGTCACTGCTGAGGACCAGGGTTAAGGGGGGAGACTGTCACTGCTGAGGACCAGGGTTAAGGGGGAGACTGTCACTGCTGAGGACCAGGGCTAAGAGGGAGACTGTCACTGCTGAGGACCAGGGTTAAGAGGGAGACTGTCACTGCTGAGGACCAGGGTTGAGAGGGAGACTGTCACTGCTGAGGACCAGGGTTAAGAGGGAGACTGTCACTGCTGAGGACCAGGGTTGAGAGGGAGACTGTCACTGCTGAGGACCAGGGTTGAGAGGGAGACTGTCACTGCTGAGGACCAGGGTTGAGAGGGAGACTGTTACTGCTGAGGACCAGGGCTAAGGGGGAGACTGTCACTGCTGAGGACCAGGGTTAAGGGGGAGACTGTCACTGCTGAGGACCAGGGTTGAGAGGGAGACTGTCACTGCTGAGGACCAGGGTTAAGGGGGAGACTGTCACTGCTAAGGACCAGGGTTAAGAGGGAGACTGTCACTGCTGAGGACCAGGGTTGAGAGGGAGACTGTCACTGCTGAGGACCAGGGTTGAGAGGGAGACTGTCACTGCTGAGGACCAGGGTTGAGAGGGAGACTGTCACTGCTGAGGACCAGGGTTGAGAGGGAGACTGTCACTGCTGAGGACCAGGGTTGAGGGGGAGACTGTCACTGCTGAGGACCAGGGTTAAGAGGGAGACTGTCACTGCTGAGGACCAGGGTTAAGAGGGAGACTGTCACTGCTGAGGACCAGGGTTGAGAGGGAGACTGTCACTGCTGAGGACCAGGGTTGAGAGGGAGACTGTCACTGCTGAGGACCAGGGTTAAGGGGGAGACTGTCACTGCTGAGGACCAGGGTTAAGGGGGAGACTGTCACTGCTGAGGACCAGGGTTAAGGGGGAGACTGTCACTGCTGAGGACCAGGGTTAAGGGGGAGACTGTCACTGCTGAGGACCAGGGTTAAGGGGGAGACTGTCACTGCTGAGGACCAGGGTTAAGGGGGAGACTGTCACTGCTGAGGACCAGGGTTAAGGGGGAGACTGTCACTGCTGAGGACCAGGGTTAAGGGGGAGACTGTCACTGCTGAGGACCAGGGTTAAGGGGGAGACTGTCACTGCTGAGGACCAGGGCTAAGGGGGAGACTGTCACTGCTGAGGACCAGGGTTGAGAGGGAGACTGTCACTGCTGAGGACCAGGGCTAAGGGGGAGACTGTCACTGCTGAGGACCAGGGCTAAGGGGGAGACTGTCACTGCTGAGGACCAGGGCTAAGGGGGAGACTGTCACTGCTGAGGACCAGGGCTAAGGGGGAGACTGTCACTGCTGAGGACCAGGGTTGAGAGGGAGACTGTCACTGCTGAGGACCAGGGTTAAGGGGGAGACTGTCACTGCTGAGGACCAGGGTTGAGAGGGAGACTGTCACTGCTGAGGACCAGGGTTGAGAGGGAGACTGTCACTGCTGAGGACCAGGGTTGAGAGGGAGACTGTCACTGCTGAGGACCAGGGTTGAGAGGGAGACTGTCACTGCTGAGGACCAGGGTTAAGGGGGAGACTGTCACTGCTGAGGGTGTATCATAGAACAGGGACAATAAAACCGAAAAATGATCCGCCACCGACCATTTTGCTGATTTCGTTCATTTGCCAATATAGGTGATTGTTAAATGGGACAGTTGATGGCTAAAACCATCAAACTAGAAGTGGTAGTTGAAAGGGTCATAAAAAATAAATAAAAACCTGTGGTGTACATTAATGTTATAAACTGTGGTGCACATTAATGTTATAAATGGTGGTGTACATTAATGTTATAAACTGTGGTGTACATTAATGTTATAAACTGTGGTGTACGTTAATGTTATAAACTGTGGTGCACGTTAATGTTATAAACTGTGGTGCACGTTAATGTTATAAACTGTGGTGCACGTTAATGTTATAAACTGTGGTGCACGTTAATGTTATAAACTGTGGTGTACATTAATGTTATAAACTGTGGTGCACGTTAATGTTATAAACTGTGGTGCACGTTAATGTTATAAACTGTGGTGCACATTAATGTTATAAACTGTGGTGCATGTTAATGTTATAAACTGTGGTGTACATTAATGTTATAAACTGTGGTGCACGTTAATGTTATAAACTGTGGTGTACGTTAATGTTATAAACTGTGGTGTACGTTAATGTTATAAACTGTGGTGTACATTAATGTTATAAACTGTGGTGCACGTTAATGTTATAAACTGTGGTGCACGTTAATGTTATAAACTGTGGTGCACGTTAATGTTATAAACTGTGGTGCACGTTAATGTTATAAACTGTGGTGTACGTTAATGTTATAAACTGTGGTGCACGTTAATGTTATAAACTGTGGTGTACGTTAATGTTATAAACTGTGGTGCACGTTAATGTTATAAACTGTGGTGCACGTTAATGTTATAAACTGTGGTGCACATTAATGTTATAAACTGTGGTACACGTTAATGTTATAAACTGTGGTGTACATTAATGTTATAAACTGTGGTGTACATTAATGTTATAAACTGTGGTGCACATTAATGTTATAAACTGTGGTGTACGTTAATGTTATAAACTGTGGTGCACATTAATGTTATAAACTGTGGTGTACGTTATTGTTATAAACTGTGGTGCACGTTAATGTTATAAACTGTGGTGCACATTAATGTTATAAACTGTGGTGCACGTTAATGTTATAAACTGTGGTGTATGTTAATGTTATAAACTGTGGTGCACGTTAATGTTATAAACTGTGGTGTACGTTAATGTTATAAACTGTGGTGCACGTTAATGTTATAAACTGTGGTGCACATTAATGTTATAAACTGTGGTGCACGTTAATGTTACAAACTGTGGTGCACGTTAATGTTATAAACTGTGGTGTACGTTAATGTTATAAACTGTGGTGCACGTTAATGTTATAAACTGTGGTGCACGTTAATGTTATAAACTGTGGTGCACATTAATGTTATAAACTGTGGTGTACGTTATTGTTATAAACTGTGGTGTACGTTATTGTTATAAACTGTGGTGCACATTAATGTTATAAACTGTGGTGCACGTTAATGTTATAAACTGTGGTGCACGTTAATGTTATAAACTGTGGTGCACATTAATGTTAAACTGTGGTGTACGTTAATGTTATAAACTGTGGTACACGTTAATATTATAAACTGTGGTACACGTTAATGTTATAAACTGTGGTGTACGTTAATGTTATAAACTGTGGTGCACGTTAATGTTATAAACTGTGGTTGCACTCATGTTATAAAACTGTGGTGTACATTAATGTTATAAACTGTGGTGCACGTTAATGTTATAAACTGTGGTGCACGTTAATGTTATAAACTGTGGTGCACATTCATGTTATAAACTGTGGTGTACATTAATGTTATAAACTGTGGTGCACGTTAATGTTATAAACTGTGGTGCACATTCATGTTATAAACTGTGGTTTACATTAATGTTATAAACTGTGGTGCACGTTAATGTTATAAACTGTGGTGTACATTAATGTTAAACTGTGGTGTACATTAATGTTATAAACTGTGGTACACGTTAATGTTATAAACTGTGGTGCACGTTAATGTTATAAACTGTGGTACACGTTAATGTTATAAACTGTGGTGCACATTAATGTTATAAACTGGGTGCACAGTTAATGTTATAAACTGTGGTGTACATTAATGTTATAAAATGTGGTGCACATTAATGTTATAAACTGTGGTGCACGTTAATATTATAAAACTGTGGTGCACGTTAATGTTTATAAACTGTGGTGCACGTAATGTTTATAAAACTGTGGTGCACATTAATGTTATAAACTGTGGTGTACATTATGTATAAACTGTGGTGTACAGTAATGTTATAAACTGTGGTACACGTTAATGTTATAAAACGTGGTGCACGTTAATGTTATAAAACTGTGGTACACGTTAATGTTATAAACTGTGGTGCACGTTAATGTTTATAAAACTGTGGTGCACATTGATGTTTATAAACTGTGGTGTCACGTTAATGTTATAAACTGTGGTGCACATTCATGTTATAAACTGTGGTGCACATTAATGTTATAAACTGTGGTGTACGTTATTGTTATAAACTGTGGTACACGTTAATGTTATAAACTGTGGTGCACGTTAATGTTATAAACTGTGGTGCACATTAATGTTATAAACTGTGGTGCACGTTAATGTTATAAACTGTGGTGCACATTAATGTTATAAACTGTGGTGTACATTAATGTTATAAACTGTGGTGCACGTTAATGTTATAAACTGTGGTGTACATTAATGTTATAAACTGTAGTGCACATTAATGTTATAAACTGTGGTGCACGTTAATGTTATAAACTGTGGTGCACGTTAATGTTATAAACTGTGGTACACGTTAATGTTATAAACTGTGGTGCACGTTAATGTTATAAACTGTGGTACACGTTAATGTTATAAACTGTGGTGCACGTTAATGTTATAAACTGTGGTACACGTTAATGTTATAAACTGTGGTGCACGTTAATGTTATAAACTGTGGTGCACGTTAATGTTATAAACTGTGGTACACGTTAATGTTATAAACTGTGGTGCACGTTAATGTTATAAACTGTGGTACACGTTAATGTTATAAACTGTGGTGCACGTTAATGTTATAAACTGTGGTGCACATTAATGTTATAAACTGTGGTGCACGTTAATGTTATAAACTGTGGTGCACATTCATGTTATAAACTGTGGTGCACATTAATGTTATAAACTGTGGTGTACGTTATTGTTATAAACTGTGGTACACGTTAATGTTATAAACTGTGGTGCACGTTAATGTTATAAACTGTGGTGCACGTTAATGTTATAAACTGTGGTGCACGTTAATGTTATAAACTGTGGTGCACATTAATGTTATAAACTGTGGTGCACGTTAATGTTATAAACTGTGGTGCACATTAATGTTATAAACTGTGGTGTACATTAATGTTATAAACTGTGGTGCACGTTAATGTTATAAACTGTGGTGTACATTAATGTTATAAACTGTAGTGCACATTAATGTTATAAATATATTGTTCTACTAATCATCACATTAATTTATCACAATCTGTATTTTTTCCCTCATGGCCCAGCCCTAGTACATCAGCCCCAGGCCCCCCTAACACAAGACAAGAGGAGAGGCCCAGCCCTAGTACATCAGCCCCAGGCCCCCCTAACACAAGACAAGAGGAGAGGCCCAGCCCTAGTACATCAGCCCCAGGCCCCCCTAACACAAGACAAGAGGAGAGGCCCAGCCCTAGTACATCAGCCCCAGGCCCCCCTAACACAAGACAAGAGGAGAGGCCCAGCCCTAGTACATCAGCCCCAGGCCCCCCTAACACAAGACAAGAGGAGAGGAGTCAACTGCATGGAACAGACAGGCTTGATGTCCTCCCTAGCTCCAGCCCTAGGATGCATCCCAAATGGCACCCTATTCCCTATGAGCCCTGGTCAAAAGTACCGCACTATATAGTCATTTGAGATCCAGGGAATAAGGGGTCATTTGAGATCCTGAGAATAGGGGGTCATTTGGGATTTCACTCTCACACGGTCTCTCTCTCACTCTCACCCCCCCCCTCCCCCCACCCCCTCAGATCAGGGTTCAAAACTAGACAGTGATGTCATTGTATCTAGGTCATAGCTATTCATATAAGAGCACTGTATTTTTTTTGTCATCAAAGATACTAGTTAGTGGTAGGTGGTATATAGAATATACAGCTGCGTAGAGGTATGATGATTCTGTCACATAATGTACAGATTTCAGTCCTAGAGGGCAGCACTGAATACATCGTGCTATTTTGACACGTAAAGGTTCTAGTGTACCTGCGTCGTGACTGACTCATGAGCAGTACTCCATCTGTCCACAGGGTGGCGCTACATCCACACACTCAGCGTCAGTGCCACTGTGCCGTCAAATCATCAGTCAAATGTTCACACACACGCACGCGCGCATGCATACATACATACATTTGAAAGAGTAAAATGATATACTGCAGTGTGTAGTAAAAAATGATATTATAAATACCGCAAGAAAATAAAGATATTTGCTGAGGAATCAAATAACCTCTTAGGACTGGAAAGGAGGTATAACCCTCAGCGCCTCAGGATGTCTCTCACTGCCCGTCTGTCTGTCCTGTTGGTCCTATCTGTCTGCGCTCGGTGCCTAAGGCAGTCTTTCATACATTTCAGAGCACACGGTGTTGATTTCATTATGCTGGATCAGCTGCTGTACCTTCTTCCTGATCTTCTGAGCGTCGTAGCGGATCTGTGTGAACTCCCGGAGCCCAAAGGAACCTCCCACTACCAGCAACTTAGAAACAGAATCCAGACGTCATAAATTGGTTTCATAACGAGGCATTGTCATCAATATACAAGCACAGACTGGACAGTCATACGATCTCTGACTGCACTAACTATTGAAACTAACAAGTATGCCGTCAAGGATGAATGTGCATTTAGGTGTTCAAACAGAGGACGGATACAGAGGATGGATGACTTATTAGTGCTTCTAGTTAACTCTCTGTTGAAGATGTCTCAGTTCACTTGTACTTTAATTGTTTGGAGAGTGGCTTTTATTTTGTCAGTCTCAGAGGGCTAGTTGAAAATTCGCTGTTCATGTTTGTAGCCTACGTGTTGATGTTAATGATCAAGCTGCTATCTAGTGGATGTAGCCAACTTTAGCTAACGTTAGCTGATAAGCTAATAGCCACTGATAGCTAAGCTAGCTACCCTCTCTCTAGAAAGCAAAAGTCTGTCACGAAACTGAAAAGACGGTATCAAACCTATGACTCACCAACATGGGAACGCCATATTTAAGGGTTTTGTTCCTCTGTAACGCTTTGAAGGTCAACATGATTATTCGACCCAGATAAACTCTACAACCCCATGTTACTTGTTGTTCACTCCGGAAGGTGAATTCCGTCGGACGCACTTCCGAGAGTAGTCCTACTCACTATAATTCCCGGATGTTTCATAAACTCCCATTTTAAGTTCCGCATGTGGAGTGACAACAGTGGCAGATTTTGGCTGTGGCTGTGATGAATTATTGGTAATATGTATGAGATCTGTTGGCATATTACTTTAGCCACATGTTATGTAAAAAAAAAAAAAAAGCCCCACATTATCTACGTGTTTCTGTAAAGAACATTGATCTAAATAACGTGCCATCCCACTTATTTAATTTATTCCATTGTCCATATACTGTAAGTTTGATTACAGAATCCAACATAAATATGTAAGTGAATCAAAGAAATGAATAAGCTCTTCCCCCAACCTCATCTTCTTCTCTATCAGCCTCTGAATTCATTCTTCCATCCTCCATCCCATCTTCCTCTGGCAGACGACCAGAGCCAGTGGCCCCAAAGAAAACGCTGTATAGGAACAGGATTCTTCTCAAACACAAGGTAGTATAACTACTTCTTGCTAGAAGGGTGCATTGAGCTTGGGTACAAAACCTCCTGGGCTGAAATGTCAGAATATGATATAGCGTATTCCCCTTGTATCCTCAGCATTGCCCTTTAGCCAATCTACGCTAAGCTAAGCTACCATTCATCTATATTGAACCATATTACACTTGCACCTAAAGCTACTTTCCAGCTTGATCTTCTCTTATGAATCTGCAGCATCACTTCACCACGTCATACTTTTGCTGAGGCTGTTCATTTTGAATGTCATATATTGCTTCATCACAGACACAATAAACATCAGTGGTTATTCATGTCAGTGTGTACTTAGCAAAGTAGGAAGGAGTGTAAATTAAGGACCAAGTATAGCAATTTTGTCTTTATTTCAATTGTTGTTTCTTTTTTTTTTTTATCAGGTGAAGAAAAATACCTTTTTTTGTTCTGTATAATAAAATATGTTAGCTTTATTCATTTTATGAAGAAAAACAATAACAACAAGAAAAATAAAAACACATTTCTCTCCCTCTTTGTAAACCTGGAGAGTGTTTTCTGCGTGGGAAGCAAGTCCAACTGAGACAAAGTGTGAGGGAGGGAAGGGGCTTGCTCCATCCGGGGTGAAGTTTCCCCTAGATACAGATCTAGGATCAGCTTTCCCTGCCTCAATCCTAACTTTAACCATTAGTGGGGGAAAATGCAAAACTGACCCCATATCAGCATCTAGGGGGCAACTTCACCCTACACCAGTGGGGAGGGTAAAGGGATTGGAGGAGGGAGGAGGGAGGAATGAGGGAGGGTTGGAAAAGGAAAGGGGGAGCAGACAGGATGATTATGACATATAAGATAAGGCCAGGAACATAGAAAAAAATGTGAGCATTGTAGAGCAGAGCTAGCCTGATGCCAGATCTCTCTGTGCTGTTTTGCCAAACTGGCGTGACAACGATGAGTGACAAGGAGTTGGTAAGACAACACAAACAGATCTGGGACCCGGGCTAGAGCAGAGCTGCGGTGTTGGCGCAGTAGGAGGGTCTTGCGGGCGGTGGTGAGAGCAGGTAGGCTGGTGAGTGACCTCACAGGTCGTGACCTCACAGGTTAGGAGTCGAAAGGTCACTCAGAGGTCACTCTCTCCGTAGAGTGCGGTGGAGAAGGACATGTAGTCGAGGGCACCGGGTATGGCGTCAGGGCCGGCGTAGGGAGCCATGCGGGCGATGCAGTACTCTGCCTGGTCAGGAGGCAACTCACGACGAAGCTCATCGGCCAGGATGTAGTTCTGGTGTAGGGGAGAGGAGAAGGTAAGAATAGTCGAGGGGTGCTCAAACTATTGGGCTTGTTGGGCCAAAATATAATCTGAGTGTTGGGCCGCGGGCCAAACAAATAGGCATTATGTATTTAGAAATAAAAAGGTAAACAATAGCTTTTTACATTTGAGACATTTAGCAGACGCTCTTATCCAGAGCGACTTACAGGAGCAATTAGGGTTAAGTGCCTTGCTCAAGGGCACATCGGCAGATTTTTCACCTAGTCGGCTCGGGGATTAGAACCAGCGCCCTTTCGGTTACTGGCACAACACTCTTAACCACTAAGCTACCTGCCGCCCAGGTTGCAGTGAGCAATCATAAAATCACACAAATTGTAGCCATATAACTTGACACCTATCAACACATTCTAAACGCCTCTAGCCTTTTGGAGGCCCTAAGCATGACTTGGCGTAAAGTAAGTAAGTAAAAATACTTTACTACTTAAATGTGCAATAAGCAAAAATCGCTCCGCCATTTCCTGGTTTTTAGTTTGTGACAAAACAAGCACTCAGAATGTAGAGAATCATTGTACCATCGAAACCGCTGTGAAATATATTTTCAATAACCAAAAATATTGTATTTTCAGCTGTTTGAAGCTGGTGTACAAAACCGAAAGTAAGACGCAAAAACAAAACTTAACAACGGGAAGCATAGAAATAGCTCACATAGAACAGATCTACCACTTCTTAGACTTGCTTTCAATTAGCTTTATGAATACATTGGATTGATTGACTTACTGACTGACTGTATTATTCCAACCTCAGTGTGGAAATATATATAAAATGTAGGAAAATGAGGTTTTGGACTGCACTGGGCCTTTAAAAACTGCAAACATTTGTCTCTACCTTATGGCAAAATGTGTAGAATTGCTTTAAAACTGCAACATTTTCTCTTTGCCCCATGGCAAAATGTGTAGATTTGCAGAAAATTAACTCAAACTCTCCGCTGTCAAGATTTCGATTTGGGCTAGGGCTGACTCTGACTGTGTGTGTGTGTGTGTGTCTGTGTGTGTGTGTGTGTGTGTGTGTGGGTACACAGACCCGCAATCCACCATCCCCGTCCCTGAGTACCTTGTCCCCAGCCAGGACCTTGAAGGAGGCCATGACCTGGTCAGCGGTGTCAGTGTCGGCCGTCTCCCGGGACATGAAGTCTATGAAGGACTGGAACGTGACCACGCCCACCCGGTTGGGATCCACGATGCTCATGATGCGAGAGAATTCCGCTTCACCCTATAGGACAGGAGCCATGAACACTATCACCATGGGGACCATCGTGGGGCCCATTGGGCTCTGGTCAAAAGTTGCGCACTATGTAGGGCCATTTGGGACGCCGTACACATAGACAGTAGCCTGGTTTCCAGATCTGTTTGTGCTGTCTTGCCAACTATGGTCATTGTATGACAGCACAAACAGATGTGACAGGGACCAGGCTATAGAGACAGCACACAAACTAGAATGTTTATACAGTGATATTAATGTGATTATTATTATTATTACTATTATTATTCCAGTGATGTTAATAAGAGACAAGAGACGATTCTCTGGTGACAATCCATGTGATCGTGATCGGTGGACTATATGTTTCCAATTCAATGCAGACTGATCTTGAAGAGACAAGTGAACAGTTGTTACCTTTCCACCAATGACTACAAGGCAGACTAACACATATTGATGCATTCGTAAGTAAACAGAGGAGGATAGTTGACTGGTTTGGCTTTACCATGTTGTAACCGAGGGAGATAAGGCAGGTTTTGAAGTCTTCAGCCTCCATCATCCCTGTTTTCTTCTACAGGTACCAGAGAGGGACAAACAGTACGGAGGAGGAACGAAGGAGGAGGAGGTATTGGGGGGGGGGGGGGTAGGTAAGGGGGGGTATTAAGGGGGTAGAGGGAGGTAAGGGGGGATAGAGGGACTTGGTGAGGTAAGGAGGATAGAGATGGGTTAGAGGGGTTTCAGAGGGGGGTAGGTAGAGGGAGGTTAGGGGGGTTAGAGAGGGAGGTAGAGGGGGGGTGGGGGGGTAGAGGGAGGTAGAGGGGTAGAGGGGTGAGGGGTAGAGGGAGGTAGAGGGGGTAGAGGGGGGTAGGGTTAGAGAGGGGTAGAGGGGGGTAGAGGGAGGTAAGGGGGTTAGAGGGGGGTAGGGGTAGAGGGAGGTAGAGGGGGGGTAGAGGGACGGATGGGGATAGAGGGGGGGGGTAGAGGGGTTAGGTAGAGGGGGGGGGTAGAGGGAGGTAGAGGGGGGGTAGAGGGAGGGGGTAGAGGGGGGGGGGGGGGTAGAGGGAGGTAAGGGGATAGAGGAGGGTAGAGGGAGGTAAGGGGGTTAGAGGGGGGTAGAGGGGGGTAGGAGGGAGGGTAGAGGGGGGTAAGGGGGTAGAGGGGGTAGAGGGGAGGGGTTAGAGGGGGGTAGAGGGAGGTTAGAGGGGTAGAGGGGGTAGAGAGGTAGGGGAGGTAGAGGGGGGTAGAGGTAGGGGGGTAGAGGGGGGTAAGGGGTAGAGGGGGGTAGAGGGGGTAGAGGGAGGTAAGGGGGGTAAGGGTAGGGGGTAGGGGAGGTAGAGGGGGGGTTAGAGGGAGGGGTAGAGGGAGGTTAAGGGGGTAGAGGACGGGTAGAGGGGGAGGGTAGAGGGAGAGGGGTAGAGGGGTAAGGGGGGAGGGGGGGTAAGGGGGGTTTGAGGGAGGTAGAGGGGGGGTAGAGGAGAGGGGGGTATAGAGGGAGGTAGAGGGGGGTAGAGGGGGGTAGAGGGAGTAAGGGGGGGTAGGGGTAGAGGGAGGTAAGGGGGGTAGAGGGGGTAGTAGAGGGAGGTAGAGGGGGGTAGGTAGAGGGGGGTAGGGTAGAGGGAGGGTAGAGGGGGTAGAGGGAGGTAGAGGGAGGGTAGAGGGGGTAGGGGGGTAGAGGAGGTAGAGGGGGTAGAGGGAGGTAGAGGGGGGTTAGGGGGGGTAGAGGGAGGTAGAGGGGGGTAGAGGGAGGTAGAGGGGGGTAGAGGGAGGTAGAGAGGGAGGTAGAGGGAGGTAGAGGGAGGGAGAGGGGGGTAGAGGGAGGTAGAGGGAGGTAGAGGGAGGTAGAGGGGTGTAGAGGGAGGTAGAGGGATGTAGAGGGAGGTAGAGGGGGGTAGTAGAGGGGGTGTAGAGGGAGTTAGAGGGAGGTTAGAGGGAGGTAGAGGGGGGGTAGAGAAAGAGAACAAAACAAAGCAACATCGTTAACTCAGTACCTGTGCATCGTTGGCTATATCGAAGCCCAGGCTGATCAGGCAGGCCTTGAACTCCTCAGCCCCCAGAGTGCCCGAGTGGTCCTGGGGTGTCAGGTGCGGTGGGGGGCCAACCAGGTGTGCCAGGTGCCAAAGGCCAGGTGGGTGTGGGCCAGGTGGGTGCGGAGTGGAGGTGAGGGGGTGGGGTGGATAGGAGAGGGTGGGGGTGGGTAGGAGAGGTGGTGGAGGTGCGTCATGCAGATGGAGAGGGGGTATTGTATTGGGAATTGGGGTGGATGGTTGATAAGGGTTGGGGGATAGGGGTGGATGGTTGATAAGGGGTTGGGGATAGGGGTGGATGGTTGATAAGGGGTTGGGGATAGGGGTGGATGGTTGATAAGGGGTTGGGGATTGGGGTGGATGATTGATAAGGTGTTGGGGGATAGGGGTGGACGTTGATATGGGGTGGATGGTTGATAAGGGGTTGGGGATATGGGTGGATGGTTGATAAGGGGTTGGGGATATGGGTGGATGGTTGATAAGGGTTGGGATATGGGTGGATGGTTGATAAGGGGTTGGGGATATGGGTGGATGGTTGATAAGGGGTTGGGGTATGGGTGGGATGGTTGATAAGGGGTTGGGGATAGGGGTGGCCGGTTGATAAGGGTGGGGATATGGGGGATGGTTTGATACGGGGTGGGGATGGGGTGGATGGTTGATAAGGGGTTGGGGATATGGGTTGGATGGTTGATAAGGGGTTGGTGATTATGGTGGATGGTGTTGATAAGGTGTTTGTTGGGGATAGGGGGGCTGGTTTTTGGATAGGAGTTGGGGATAGGGGGGATGGTGATAAGGGGTTGGGAGAGGGGTGGACGGTTGAAAGGGGTTGGGATAGGGGGGATGGTTGATAAAAGGGGTTGGGGATAGGGGGGATTGGTTGATAAGGGGTGGGGATATGGGTGGACGTTTGATAAGGGGTTGGGGATAGGGGTGGATGGTTGATAAGGGGTGGGGATAGGGGTGGATGGTTGATAAGGTGTTGGGGATAGGGGTGGATGGTTGATTAGGGGTATAGGGATGGGTGATGGTTGATAAGGGGGGTGGGATAGGGGTGGATGGTTGATAAGGGTTGGGATTAAGGGTGGATGGGTTTTAATAAGGGGTGGGGATAGGGTGGATGGGTTGAGAATGGGGTGGGGATATGGGTGATGGATGGTGATTAAGGTGTTGGGTCGGGGTGGATGGTTGATAAGGGGTTGGGGATAGGGGTGGATGGTTGATAAGGGGTTGGGGATATGGTGGGACGATTGATAAGGTGGGGATAGGGGTGGATGGGATAAGGGGTTAGGGAAGGATGGGGGGTTGGACGTTGATAAAGGGGTGGGGGATAGGGTTGATGGTTGATAAGGGGTTGGATTAAGGGTGAATGGGTAAAAGGGGTTGGGGATAGGGGTGGATGGTTGATAAGGGGTTGGGGATATGGGTGGTGGTTGATAAGGTGTTGGGGATAGGGTGGAATGGTTGATAAGGGTCGGGGATAGGGGTGGATGGTTGATAAGGGGTTGGGGATAGGGGTGGATGGTTGATAAGGGGTTGGGGTGGACGGTTGGTAAGGGGTCGGGGCCATGCACAAGAAGAGACAGAAAACAAAACAGTGCCAAACATTAGGACCTGAGGTGAGGTGCTGTGACACACTGCTGTGTGGCATGGAGGCATTCAGAGCTGTTAGGTGCAGTGTGGCGGGCTATTAGGCTATAGTAGACAGTACAAGGTATCATTCATTTTACATCATATACTGTAACTGTCACGGATTCTGCCGAGGATGCTCCTCCTCCTTGCTCGGGCAGGCTTCGGCAGAATCCGTGACAGTAATCAAAACTAATAGGCAACAGGTGTACTAATCTAGACAAAACAAGACAAACATAGATCGGCAGTAGCTAGTACTCCGGGGACGACGAACGCCGAATCCTGCCCGAGCAAGGAGGAGGAGGAGCCTCGGCAGAATCCGTGACAGTTACACAGCGTTTCCCAAACTCTGTACTGGGGACACCAAGGGGGGGGCACGTTTTGGTCTTTGCCATAGCACTACACAGCTGATTCAATTAATCAAAGCTCGACGATGAGTTGATTCAGCTGTGTAGTGTTAGTGCAAAAAACGAAATGTGCCCTCTGGGACCGAGTTTGGGACCATAGCACCACATAGTTTTCCCTTGGCTGTAAATCCCTAATAGCAATAGGGGTCTACGACAGGGATATTCAAACTGGGGAAGGGGGTCCGCAGAGGTACTGCAGGGGGTCCGCAGAAATATTTTTTTTATAAAAAAAGTTGTTACATTTTTTCTTTACATTAAATGTTTTTATGAATAGGCCTATCGCTAGTAACAACAGAATAAACTCATTTTGAACTACATATCTACAGTAGAAAGTAGATTACTTGATTTTATCCTAATTGAAATTACACAAAAAAAAAATCACGACAGCTGAGATGGAAATAGGACGTCTCGGTACAATTTTATAAATGCCGACAGATAAAATTGATTATGCGAGAAATGGCGGTGGAAACGCCTGTATGCACAAATATTGATATAACAACCGTCATATTGAAGTACACTTGGGAGTCACGAGATGATACGGTGTGGAGGTTCTCCCTCTTACGACTGGGAGGAATAACCGGGCAGTTTATTGGCTACAGATTAAATAGGCTCTTATCACAGGGTGGTAAATGCACGGTGTAATAATAATAAAATATGCCATTAGCAGACGCTTTTTATCCAAAAGCGACTTACAGTCATGCGTGCCTACATTTTTTTTGTTATGGGTGGTCCCGGGGATCGAACCACTACCTTGGCATAACAAGCGCCGTGCCTCTACCAGATGAGCTACAGAGGAGCTTGATTGCTCATTTCAATAAATGATCGAGGGTCTTAGTTTGGTGACATGATGATCGATGCTTGTCTGCAGTTGACCAAATAAAACCTATTCTCGCTTCTATCCATAATAATGTCATCATGTAGCCTGCCTATCTAGCCACCAGCCCTTTATCCATAATAATGTCATCATGTAGACTAGCCTACTAGCACAGCGCTCTATCCATAATAATGTCATTCATTAGCCTAGCCTACTAGCCAGCACTCTTTACCCATAACTAAGTCATCATGTAGGGTAGCCTACTAGACAGCCGATCCACACTGTCTCTGGGAGCTGGTGGCTAGTAGAGTGCACCTGCCAAGACCAGGAGTAGGCCCCACCAATTAGCTATTTAACAAAAACATCTCGGTTTTAGAGTGAAAAATGCATTTTCGTACTACATTTGTGTGCACATTTCGTGTGCACTGTGTCATAAGGCACAGTCACTAAATTAGCAACAACAACAAAATATTGCTAGGTAAGTTAGTCTAGCCAGCTATCTAAACCTAGGAGTAATCATGGCTGAATTAGCTTACTGACCGGGCATGCAGGGCACATGCTCAGGGGCCCTGACCTCCAGGGGGCGCCCATTGATTTTGTTAGTCACTCTCACTCGGATATCATATGAACATGGCATTAGTCATGGCAAAATGTGTAGAATCGCAGGAAAATGATTATAAGACCAAACATATGAAAAAAAAAGTATATTTTGGTAACATATGATGGGGGTCCTTGGGTCACCGGTTTGCCTGGGCGGGGGTCCCTGGGTCAACCGGTGGTGCATGGGCGAGGGTCCCTGGGTCACCGGTTTGCCGGGCGAGGGTGGTCCCTGGGTCACCGGGGCATGGGCGGGGGTCACTGGGTCACCTGGTTTTGCCTGGGCGGGGGTCCCTGGGTCAACCGGTGCCTGGGCGGGGTCCCTGGGTCACCGGTTTGCCTGGGCGAGGATCCCTGGGTCACCGGTTTGCCTGGGCGAGGGTCCCTGGGTCACCGGTTTGCCTGGGCGGGGGTCCCTGGGTCACCGGTTTGAAGACCCCTGGTCGACAGCCATTTCTCAGGGCAAAGTTTCCCTATATATTTTTCTCCTAAAGACTCCACATCAGAGAGAAACTCACCCCCCTAAAAAGGCTTTTAAATGCTCCCTCATCTTGACCAAGTGGAAAGACATGACAAATATGCCCAAGAACAGAAAGACAGACACTACAACGGCTACATAGTAGGTTGCCTTACTTTAGGACTCCTCTTTAGTATTGATGAGGTATTTGATTTATTGATGAACAATGGGGTGAGGGGAGGGGGGAGGGCGGGGGGAGGGGTGAAAGGAGGGGAGGAGAGGAGGAGGATGAAAGGAGGGGGAGGGGGAGGAGGGAGATGAAGGGGGGAGGGAGAGGGAGGATGACGGAGGGAGGAGAGGAGGGAGGATGAAAGAGGGGCGGAGGGAGGAGGGAGGGATTGAAGGAGGGGAGGAGGGAGGATGACAGGAGGGGAGGGTGGAGGGAAAGAATGACGGAGGGGGGACGAGGAGAGGAGGGGAGGATGAAAGGCAGGGAGAGGGGAGGAGGGAAGAGACGGAGGGGAGGAGAGGAGGGAGGATGACAGGAGGGGAGGGGGGGGAGGAGGGAAGATGAAGGAGGGGAGGAGAGGAGGAGATTGCAGGAGGGGAGGAGAGGGAGGGGAGGATGAAGGAGGGGGAGGAGGAGGAGGGAGGCTGAAAGAAGGGACAGGAGAGAAGGAGAGGATGCAGGAGGGGAGGGGAGGAGGGAGGATTGCAGGAGGGGAGGAGAGGGGGAGGAGACGGCAGGGGGTGAGGAGAGGAGGCGAGGATGAAGGGGGGGAGGAGAGGAGGAGGCTAAATTGAAAGGACGGGAGGCAGAGGAGGGAGGGACAGGAGGGGAGGATGAGGAGGGAGGATGACAGGAGGGGAGGAGAGGAGGGAGGAGAAAGGAAGGGGAGGAAAAAGAGGATGGGAGGATGACAGAGGGGAGGGGAAACAAACCAATTACAAGTCATCTATTGTAGTCCCACTATGAGAGGATTTAACTGGTCCAAATGACCCCACAACAAACTCAACCGCCTCGCTTTGCTGATGTGGCCTACATATGTGGAAAACACATTGTCCATAACAATATTCAGATCCATTCTATTCAGAAGGTAGACAATATGAGTGTACTGCACAGTAGATAGTAACTAGTGGTCTACCCCCCCCACACCTCTTCCTCCCGGTATGGAGGTCTACCCACCCCACACCACCTCTTCCTCCCCGCTGGGAGGTCTACCCCCCCACACCAACTCTTCCTCCCTGTTGGGAGGTCTACCCCCCCCCCACACCACCTCTTCCTCCCCATGTATGGGAGGCTACCCCCCCCCCACACAACCTCATTACTCCTGTATGGAGGGTCTACCACCCCACACACCCAACCTCTTCCTCCCTGTATGGGAGGTCTACCCCCCCCCCACCCCACCTCTCCTCCCTGTATGGGGAGGTCTACCCCCCCACACCAACCTCTTCCTCCTGTATGGGAGGTCTACCACCCCCCCACCACACACCTCTTCCTCCCTGTATGGGAGTCTAACCCCCCCCCCCCCCCCCCCCACCCCCCCCCCCCCCCCCCCCCCCCCCCCCCCCCCCCCCCACACCCCCTCTTCCTCCCTGTATGGGAGGTCTACCCCCCCCCCACACCACTCTTCCTCCCTGTATGGGAGGTCTACCCCCCACACCACCTCTTTCCTCCCTTATGGGAGGTCTAACCCCCCCACACCACCTCTTCTCCCTGTATGGGAGGTCAAACCCCCCCCCCCACACCACCTCTTCCTCCTTGTATGGGAGGTCTACCCCCCCACCCCACCTCTCCCCCCTTTAGGGAGGTCTACCCCCCCACCACCTCTTCCTCCCTGTATGGAGGTATACCCCCCCCCCAACACCACCTTCTTCCTCCTGTATGGGAGGTCTACAACCCCACACCACCTTTTCCCCCTCCCTGTATGGGAGGTCTACCCCCCCCCCACACCACCTCTTCCTCCCTGTATGGGAGGTCTACCCCCCACACCACCTCTTCCTCCCTGTATGGGAGGTCTACCCCCCCCCCCCCCCACAACACCACCTCTTCCTCCCTGTATGGGAGGTCTACCCCCCCCACACCACCTCTTCCTCCCTGTATGGGATGTCTACCCCCCCCCCCCCACACCACCTCTTCCTCCCTGTATGGGAGGTCTACCCCCCCCACACCCACCTCTTCCTCCCTGTATGGGAGGTCTACCCCCCCCACACCACCTCTTCCTCCCTGTATGGGAGGTCTACCCCCCCACACCACCTCTTCCTCCCTGTATGGGAGGTCTACCCCCCCACACCACCTCTTCCTCCCTGTATGGGAGGTCTACCCCCCCCCACACCACCTCTTCCTCCCTGTATGGGAGGTCTACCCCCCCCACACCACCTCTTCCTCCCTGTATGGGAGGTCTACCCCCCCCACACCACCTCTTCCTCCCTGTGTGGTCTCTTCCCTGTGAAACTGACCCTGTCGAAGTGGTTGAAGGAGGCTCTGAACTCGTTCATCTGGTCCTGGCTGATGCCCTTGGCATCCCGCGTCAGAATCTGGTTCTCGATCTCGTTGATGGTTCTGGCGATGGTGGTGAGGAGCTGCTCCCAGCCCACACGGATATGCTGCAGGGAGGACGAGAGAGGGAGAGGAGGGGAGAGGGAGGGAGACAGAGGGAGAGAGAGATAAATAGATAGACAGGTAGAGAGAGAGAGAGAGAACAGGGAGAGAGAGAGCGAGAAAGAGAGAAATTTGAATTGAAAGAAAGAAGTTGAAAAAGATGACGAGACACCAAGAAGACTGAAGATGTTAGTCGTAAGATCAGATAATCTACTCTGTCCCACCTGTACCCTCTCTTGTGATCAGCAAAGATCAACTTGTACCCACTCTTGGGATCTGTGATGGTGATCAGCAAAGATCAAATTGTACCTTCTCTCGGACAGTGTTGTGTGTTTCTTACCTCCATGGTGTAGTTGTGTGTAGTTGTGTAGTTATGTAGTTGTGTAGTTGTGTAGTTGTGTGTTGTGTAGTTGTGTAGTTGTGTGTTGTGTAGTTGTGTGTGGTGTAGTTGTGTAGTTGTGTGTTGTGTAGTTGTGTAGTTTGTGTGTTGTGTAGTTGTGTAGTTGTGTGTTGTGTAGTTGTGTAGTTGTGTGTTGTGTAGTTGTGTAGTTGTGTAGTTGTGTGTAGTTGTGTGTAGTTGTGTGTAGTTGTGTAGTTGTGTGTAGTTGTGTAGTTGTGTAGTTGTGTGAAGTTGTGTGTGGTGTAGTTGTGTAGTTGTGTGTAGTTGTGTGTTTATTACCTCCATGGTGTAGTTGGTGTGCTTGTTGTCGAAGATCAGAGCTTCCTGGATCAGCTGGTGGTCTCCCTCCAATTGGTCGATCTTTGGCTTGTAGTTGACGATGTTCTTCTCATATTGGCGGAGGTGGGTCAGCTGATCCTCCAGGGTTCCGTGCATCTCGATAGAGATACGACCAATCTCCTGCAGAGAGAGAAGTGGGAGGAAAGACAGGAGAGGACGTGAGGAGAGGGTGAATCACGACCTACTGGAGAGATTGGAGAGAATGTTTGAATGAGATTGTGAACAGCAAACAGGAATGAGAACACAAACAAAATTGTTTTTGAGGACGACAGGGGTGATAAGATTAAGGATGACAGGGGTGATAAGATTAAGGATGACAGGGGTGATAAGATTAAGAATGTCTTATCAAAGCACTATGGTATTTTGATATTCATGACAATCCCTCAAAGGACTCTGTGATCACCAGTCAGTTGAAGTTTAAGTAAAAATTGTCATCTCTGCTCTGCTCTGCTCTGTCCAGTACCAACTCTACCTGCTCTGTTCTGTCCAGTACCAACTCTACCTGCTCTGTTCTGTCCAGTACCAACTCTACCTGCTCTGCTCTGTCCAGTACCAACTCTACCTGCTCTGTTCTGTCCAGTACCAACTCTACCTGCTCTGTTCTGTCCAGTCCCAACTCTACCTGCTCTGTTCTGTCCAGTACCAACTCTACCTGCTCTGCTCTGTCCAGTACCAACTCTACCTGCTCTGTTCTGTCCAGTACCAACTCTACCTGCTCTGTTCTGTCCAGTACCAACTCTACCTGCTCTGCTCTGTCCAGTACCAACTCTACCTGCTCTGTTCTGTCCAGTACCAACTCTACCTGCTCTGTTCTGTCCAGTCCCAACTCTACCTGATCTGTTCTGTCCAGTCCCAACTCTACCTGCTCTGTTCTGTCCAGTACCAACTCTACCTGCTCTGTTCTGTCCAGTACCAACTCTACCTGCTCTGTTCTGTCCAGTCCCAACTCTACCTGCTCTGTTCTGTCCAGTACCAACTCTACCTGCTCTGTTCTGTCCAGTACCAACTCTACCTGCCTCTGTTCTGTCCAGTCCCCAACTCTACCTGCTCTGTTTCTGTCCAGTACCAACTCTACCTGCTCTGTTCTGTCCAGTACCAACTCTACCTGCTCTGTTCTGTCCAGTACCAACTCTACCTGCTCTGTTCTGTCCAGTCCCAACTCTACCTGCTCTGTTCTGTCCAGTACCAACTCGACCTGCTCTGCTCTGTCCAGTACCAACTCTACCTGCTCTGTTCTGTCCAGTCCCAACTCTACCTGCTCTGTTCTGTCCAGTACCAACTCTACCTGCTCTGTTCTGTCCAGTCCCAACTCCACCTGCTCTGTTCTGTCCAGTACCAACTCTACCTGCTCTGTTCTGTCCAGTCCCAACTCTACCTGCTCTGTTCTGTCCAGTACCAACTCTACCTGCTCTGTTCTGTCCAGTACCAACTCTACCTGCTCTGTTCTGTCCAGTCCCAACTCTACCTGCTCTGTTCTGTCCAGTACCAACTCTACCTGCTCTGTTCTGTCCAGTACCAACTCTACCTGCTCCGTTCTGTCCAGTACCAACTCTACCTGCTCTGTTCTGTCCAGTACCAACTCTACCTGCTCTGTTCTGTCCAGTCCCAACTCTACCTGCTCTGCTCTGTCCAGTACCAACTCTACCTGCTCTGCTCTGTCCAGTACCAACTCTACCTGCTCTGTTCTGTCCAGTCCCAACTCTACCTGCTCTGTTCTGTCCAGTACCAACTCTACCTGCTCTGTTCTATCCAGTCCCAACTCTACCTGCTCTGTTCTGTCCAGTACCAACTCTACCTGCTCTGTTCTGTCCAGTACCAACTCTACCTGCTCCGTTCTGTCCAGTACCAACTCTACCTGCTCTGTTCTGTCCAGTACCAACTCTACCTGCTCTGTTCTGTCCAGTCCCAACTCTACCTGCTCTGCTCTGTCCAGTACCAACTCTACCTGCTCTGCTCTGTCCATACCAACTCTACCTGCTCTGTTCTGTCCAGTCCCAACTCTACCTGCTCTGTTCTGTCCAGTACCAACTCTACCTGCTCTGTTCTAATCCAGTCCCAACTCTACCTGCTCTGTTCTGTCCAGTACCCAACTCTACCTGCTCTGTTCTGTCCAGTCCCAACTCTACCTGCTCTGTTCTGTCCAGTACCAACTCTACCTGCTCTGTTCTGTCCAGTACCAACTCTACCTGCTCTGTTCTGTCCAGTCCCAACTCTACCTGCTCTGTTCTGTCCAGTACCAACTCTACCTGCTCTGTTCTGTCCAGTACCAACTCTACCTGCTCTGTTCTGTCCAGTCCCAACTCTACCTGCTCTGTTCTGTCCAGTACCAACTCGACCTGCTCTGCTCTGTCCAGTACCAACTCTACCTGCTCTGTTCTGTCCCAGTCCCAACTCTACCTGCTCTGTTTCTGTCCAGTACCAACTCTACCTGCTCTGTTCTGTCCAGTCCCAACTCCACCTGCTCTGTTCTGTCCAGTACCAACTCTACCTGCTCTGTTCTGTCCAGTCCCAACTCTACCTGCTCTGTTCTGTCCAGTACCAACTCTACCTGCTCTGTTCTGTCCAGTACCAACTCTACCTGCTCTGTTCTGTCCAGTCCCAACTCTACCTGCTCTGTTCTGTCCAGTACCAACTCTACCTGCTCTGTTCTGTCCAGTACCAACTCTACCTGCTCCGTTCTGTCCAGTACCAACTCTACCTGCTCTGTTCTGTCCAGTACCAACTCTACCTGCTCTGTTCTGTCCAGTCCCAACTCTACCTGCTCTGCTCTGTCCAGTACCAACTCTACCTGCTCTGCTCTGTCCAGTACCAACTCTACCTGCTCTGTTCTGTCCAGTCCCAACTCTACCTGCTCTGTTCTGTCCAGTACCAACTCTACCTGCTCTGTTCTATCCAGTCCCAACTCTACCTGCTCTGTTCTGTCCAGTACCAACTCTACCTGCTCTGTTCTGTCCAGTACCAACTCTACCTGCTCTGTTCTGTCTATACTCACCTCCATCTTGGTTTGTATCCAGGGCCCGATGACATTGGCTTGGTTGGCAAACTGCCTCCGGAGACGTTCGTTGTTCTGCTGGCGGGCGTGTTCCTCGATCAGGGCCTGGTCCCTCTGGGGCACCAGCTGTCTCACCTGGGGGGGCGGGGGGGGGGTGGGGTGGCGGGGGGGGGGGACAGGAGAAAGGGTTCCAGTCATAAAGGAAAGGGGCTTGCCCAGGGCACTGGATGTACACTGTTAGCACATTTTAGACCATTCCATCGGTCCTAAAGTGCAAACTAGGCCTACCATGGGCCAAGGTAGAACAAATTCACCTAGAGACTAGATGAGACAGATAAGGTTTACAATATCACAGGTATGCATATTAGGTAGATGTGGATAGAAGTCAAGTCACTGTATGGACTCCAATGAGCATGTTGCTTGTCCCATACACTTGTCCCATACACTTGGTGTTGATCCCCTGAGCATGTTGCTTGTCACATACCTTGTCCCACTTGGCGTTGATCTCCTGAGGGTTGATGGTGGTGTAGGGGTTGGTGCCGGCCATGTTCACATGGTAGGTGGCCACTATCTTGGCGATCTCATTGTGAATTCCCAGGATGGCACCGCGTTCCTTATCCGCCTCAGGGAGAGTGGCTTTAAACTGCTCATGGGCTGTACTGAGACCCTGGGAGGGAAAAGAGAGAGAGATACACAGGATCAAATGTATGTGTGTTTGCGTGAGTTAGTGCGCATTTGTGCATGCCTGTGTGTCTGCCTGGTGTGTGTGCGTGTGTGTGTGTGCGTGTGTTTGTGTGTGCGTGTGTGTGTGTGTGCGTGTGTGTGTGTGCGTGTGTGTGTGCGTATGTGTGTGCGTGTGTTTGTGTGTGCGTGCGTGTGTGTGTGTGTGTGCGTGTGTGTGTGCGCGTGCGTGTGCGTGTGTGTGTGCGTGTGTGTGTGTGTGTGTGCGCGTGTGTGTGTGTGTGTGTTTGTGTGCGCGTGTGTGTGTGCGCGTGTGTGCATCTACAGTTCTAACCTGTATTTCCTCTATGGTGTGGACGATGAAGGTGTCCTGCAGGTCCTCCATGGCGCCCTCCATCCAGTTGTTGAACGGAGCAGCTCGTTTGGCAAACTCAAGATATAACTGGTCTATGGTCTCCAGAAGCTTCTCAGTTCTCTGTTGGTTTCACACAAAGAAACACCACAGAAAAAGAGTATTTCGTTATTAGGCATAAGCCTATGAGCAGTTCCGGCTCATATTAAGCATGGAACTTATGGACCAACAAACTGAATTGAGCATCTAATTGATCGAATTTATATATATATATTTATACCACAGCATTGTTGAATACTCATTTCTGATTGGCTAGAAGGGCATTTTAGAATGGACAACCAGATAATAGGACAGTTGTAAAAAAATATCGTGACACTTGCAATCATGACGCAATTACGCGCCTACACATGCCGACCGTACAGAAAGCTAAACCAACAACTCCACAAACTGAAATGGGATACATTTTAAACGCTGATCCTAACGTGGTTAGTGATGAACATGAATTTCTCCGCTCCCCTCTGCTGCTCCCCTCCCACGTTTATAGTTTGAGCAGCTGTTTTCAGCAAATGGTATTTTTGAATTCAGTTGTCATATTGGCAGGTTAGCTAGCAACAAACTCAATTACCAACTCAATGTTATGGATGTGTCCAAATGAATGTCAGTAGAAAACAGCTACTTTGCTGTTATTCTGGCTGCAAAGGTCATGTTTGTGTTAGCTGTAGCTAGCTAGCTAGCTAGCAAAGGATGAGAACTTAAAGGAACGTAAAGAACGAACGACTGGGTGGCGTTTCTAGCACCCAAAAGATGAGAAAGTATGAATTCACTTTATAAAAATGAAAATATCAACAACAACAACAAAAGTATTTATACCGGTAAATGTGTGCTTTTCATATGTTTTCTTTGGCAACTGTGGTATAAGCGGGATAAACGCCTCAGTTCTGTACATTACTCGGCTCCCCCTCGTCCCGCTGCGTCGTCCATTATTTCCAAAGTAATGTAGAGAACATCTTACATATACAGTATATATCAGTATATATCAGTATTGGATTGTCTCTTTTCTGCCTCCTGTCAGCACCATAGAAATAAATTCCCATTCAAGTGAACGTTCCGAGGTCTCAGAGGCTTGGGCTTTGTCCCTTCTAGTAATTACATTTCCATGATCTATGATAGGCTCCTACTACTTAAAGGACCACTGCCCAGTAAGCACCTCCTCCCTGTAGACAAAGACACACCCTGATAAGCCCCTCCTACCTATAGACCACACAGAGACACACCCTGATAAGCCCCTCCTACCTATAGAACCACACAGAGACACACCCTGATAAGCCCCTCCTACCTATAGGAATACATCCCGCCAGGACCACGACCCACTAAGCCCCTCCACTGTACCCGCTGAGCCCTGCCCCACTAAGCCCCTCCTACTATGCCTGCAGAGCCCCGCCCCACTAAGCCCCTCCTACTGTCCTACTGTACCTGCAGTGCTACTCCCCACTAAGCCCCTCCTACTATGCCTGCAGAGCCCCACCCCAGTAAGCTCCTCCTACTGTACCTGCAGAGCCCCACCCCACTAAGCCCCTCCTACTATGCCTGCAGAGCCCCACCCCACTAAGCCCCTCCTACTGTACCTGCAGAGCCTCGCTGCGTTTCTGAGTCAGGGCTCCCAGGGCGTCCCATTGGTCACAGATGTTCTGGCAGCGAGCGTTCACGCTGGGCGAGTCATAGTAGTCCAGCTCGCTGAGGGACAAAACAGGGGAATGAGACAGAGCAGGTCAGTATAACAATGTTATGTAAAACAGGGGAATGAGACAGAGCAGGTCAGTATAACAATGTTATGTTACAGCAGACATATTGTAAAGATAGTGGAGGATCTGATCAAACAACCTGTAACAAAAGTGACTGAAAGCCTTTCATCTACACCACTCTCCTGTGAGATGGTCATTGTTACTGAAGGTTATCTGCCATTAACTATCATTGTATAAAGTCCCCCTCCCTCCCTCCCTCCCTCCCTCCCTCCCTCCCACCCCCCTTACTTTAGCTCCTGTGCGATGGCAGCTATCTGCTCTACGCGGTCCTGGTGCGCAGCCAGGTCACTTTCGAAGGCCTCATGTTTCTTCAGCAGAGCCTTGATCTCAGACAGAGAGGCTGTCTCAAAGTCCCGCGCCTGCAGCATCGCCTCCTTACCTGCAGGGGGAGACACATCAAAGCCATCACACATCACAGGCGTCACAAATCACTGGAAAATGTATACAGTAATTACACTAATACAGAATCTATGTTGAACAAAAACAGATTACAGAGGACATTATACATATTTAAGGTGCTGCACACAGTGATCCTACATTCCATATCAAATCATTTCTGGGTAACAATTAAGTCACTTATAATAATAGTTTCAATTAAAATGGTCAAACGGAAACAGAAGAGGTGTTCTTGCTTAGCATGGTTCTGGTACCTTCAGTCCAGGTTTCGTGGATGGCTGCTTTCTGGCGGAACTTCTCGGCCAGGTGGTCGAGTCTCTCCAGCCGACGGATCTCGTTGAGGAGCCACTCCTCATAACCCTTCTCCGCCCCCTCCAGACCGCCCCACGCATTAGAGACGTCCTGCAGAAATACAACATATAGGTTCAGCCGACAGTCACCAGTCACCAGTCACCAGCCACCAGTCACCAGTCATCTGTCACCAGTCATCAGTCACCAGTCATCAGTCACCAGTCACCAGTCATCTGTCACCAGTCATCTGTCACCAGTCATCAGTCATCAGTCACCAGTCACCAGTCATCTGTCACCAGTCATCAGTCACCAGTCACCAGTCATCAGTCATCAGTCATCTGTCACCAGTCATCAGTCACCAGTCATCAGTCACCAGTCACCAGTCATCAGTCACCAGTCACCAGTCATCAGTCACCAGTCATCAGTCACCAGTCACCAGTCATCAGTCACCAGTCATCAGTCATCAGTCACCAGTCATCAGTCACCAGTCATCAGTCATCAGTCATCAGTCACCAGTCACCAGTCATCTGTCACCAGTCATCAGTCACCAGTCATCAGTCACCAGTCACCAGTCACCAGTCATCAGTCACCAGTCACCAGTCATCAGTCATCAGTCACCAGTCACCAGTCACCAGTCATCAGTCATCAGTCACCAGTCATTTGTCACCAGCCACCAGTCATCAGTCACCAGTCATCAGTCACCAGTCATCAGTCACCAGTCATCAGTCACCAGTCATCAGTCACCAGTCACCAGTCACCAGTCACCAGTCATCAGTCACCAGTCATCAGTCACCAGTCACCAGTCATCAGTCACCAGTCACCAGTCACCAGTCACCAGTCATCAGTCCACCAGTCATCCACCAGTCCATCAGTCACCAGTCACTCAGTCATCAGTCACCAGTCATCAGTCACCAGTCCCACCAGTCCATCAGTCACATCCAGTCATCAGTCACCAGTCACATCATCATCACAGTCATCAGTCCACCCAGTCATCAGTCACATCATCAGTCACCAGTCATCAGTCACCAGTCATCAGTCACCAGTCATCGTCATCACCACCACCAGTCACCAGTCATCAGTCACCAGTCATCAGTCACCAGTCACACCAGTCACCAGTCACCAGTCACCAGTCATCAGTCACCAGTCACCAGTCACCAGTCACCGCACTCAAGATTTGTTTCTATTGGAATTTAGGGCCAAGTCCAATTCAAGCCGTGTCGAATGTGGGCCTGATTTAAAGTGCCAATGGAAACAAGGCTTCAGGGTGTTTGAGATGATCGTCCGGAGCAAGGTTCTGCGCAGAATTACTGGTCTACAAATCATCTTGCATCCCAAATACAAGATAAGATTTAACTGAGTTACAGTTCATGTAAGGAAATCAGTCAATTGAAATAAATTCATTAGGACCTAATCTATGGATTTCACATGACTGGGAATACAGAAATGCATCTGTTGGTCATAGATACCTTAAAAAACAGGTAGGGGTGTGGATCAGAAAACCAGTAAGTATCTGGTGTGACCACCATTTGCCTCATGCAGCGCGACATCTCCTTTGCATAGAGTTGATCAGGCTGTTGATTGTGGCCTGTGGAATGTTGTCCCACTCCTCTTCAATGGCTGTGCAAAGTTGTTGGATATTGGCGGGAACTGGAACACGCTGTCGTACACGTCAATCCAGAGCATCCCAAACATGCTCAATGGGTGACATGGCTGGTGAGTATGGAAGAACTGGGACATTTTCAGCTTCCAGGAATTGTGTACAGATCCTTGCGACATGGGGCCGTGCATTATCATGCTGAAACATGAGGTGATGGCGGCGGATGAATGGCACCACAATGGGCCTCAGGATCTTGTGCATTCAAATTGCCATCGATAAAATGTCATCGTGTTCGTTGTCCGTAGCTTATGCCTGCCCATACCATAACCCCACCGCCACCATGGGGCACTCTGTTCACAACGTTGACATCAGCAAACCTCTCACCCACACGACACCATACACGCTGTCTGCCATCTGCCTGGTACAGTTGAAACCGGGATTCATCTGTGAAGAGCACACTTCTCCAGCGTGCCAGTGGTCTTCGAAGATGACCATTTGCACACTGAAGTCGGTTACGACGCCGAACTGTAGTCAAGTCAAGACCCTGGTGAGGAAGACGAGCACGCAGCACAAGGTGCACCTGTGTAATTATCATGCTGTTTAATCAGCTTCTTGATATGCCACACCTGTCAGGTGGATCACGCTCTCCTTAGCAGATCAACATTCACAAGGCCGCGGGGTCAGACGGATAACCAGGACGTGTACTCAAAGCATGGGCGGACCAACTGGCAAGTGTCTTCACTGACATTTTCAACCTGTCCCTGACCGAGTCTGTAATACCAACATGTTTCAAGCAGACCACCGTAGTCCCTGTGCCCAAGAACACCAAGGTAACCTGCCTAAATGAATACCGTCCCGTAGCACTCATGTCTTTGAAAAGCTGATCATGGCTCACATCAACACCATTATCCCAGAAACCCTAGACCCACTCCAATTTGCATACCGCGCCAACAGATCCACAGATGACGCAATCTCAATCGCACTCCACACTGCCCTTTCCCACCTGGACAAAAGGAACACCTATGTGAGAATGCTGTTCATTGACTACAGCTCAGCGTTCAACACCATAGTGCCCACAAAGCTCATCACTAAGCTAAGGACCCTGGGACTAAACACCTCACTCTGCAACTGGATCCTGGACTTCCTGACGGGCCGCCCCCAGGTGGTAAGGGTAGGTAACAACACATCTGCCACGCTGATCCTCAACACTGGGGCTCCTCAGGGGTGCGTGCTCAGTCCCCTCCAGTACTCCCTGTTCACCCATGACTGCATGGCCAAGCACGGCTCCAACACCATCATTAAGTTTGCTGACGACACAACGGTGGTAGGCCTGATCACCGACAATGATGAGACAGCCTATAGGGAGGAGGTCAGAGACCTGGCAGTGCGGTGCCAGGACAACAACCTCTCCCTCAATGTGAGCAAGACAAAGGAGCTGATCGTGGACTATAGGAAAAGGAGGGCCGAACAGGCCCCCATTAACATCGACGGGGCTGAAGTGGAGAGGGTCGAGAGTTTCAAGTTCCTTGTTGTCCACATCACCAACGAACTATCCTGGTCCAAACACACCAAGACAGTTGTGAAGAGGGCACGACAACACCTTTTCCCCCTCAGGAGACTGAAAAGATTTGGCATGGGTCCCCAGATCCTCAAAAAGTTCTACAGCTGCACCATCGAGAGCATCCTGACCGGTTGCATCACCACCTGGTATGGCAACTGCTCAGCATCTGACCGTAAGGCGCTACAGAGGGCAGTGCGTACGGCCCAGTACATCACTGGGGCCAAGCTTCCTGCCATCCAGGACCTCTATACCAGGCGGTGTCAGAGGAAGGCCCTAAAAATTATCAAAGACTCCAGCCACCCTAGTCATAGACTGTTCTCTCTGCTACCGCACGGCAAGCGGTACCGGAGCGCCAAGTCTAGGTCCGAGAGGCTTCTAAACAGCTTCTACCCCCAAGCCATAAGACTGCTGAACAAGAAATATGTTTTTTATGTGTATGGGACATTTATGGGATCTTTTATTTCAGTTCATGAAACATGGGACCAACATGTTGAGTTTATATTTGTGTTCAGTGTAGCTACTCGTTTTGTGATCAAGATTAGGGAATCTGTGCAGCGTCTTGCTCAAACCGATGCCGATCTCCTGAAATGTGCTGTGTAAATAACAACTAACTTAAACAGAGTGGGCGTGATGAGAGAGGAAGAGCGAGAGACAAAGAGAGAGAGCGAGAGAGCGAGAGAGAGCGAGAGAGAGCGCGAGAGAGAGAGAGAGAGAGAGCAAGAGCGAGAGCGAGAGAGAGAGATCGAGAGAGAGAGAGAGAGAGAGAGAGAGATCGAGAGCGAGAGAGAGAGAGAGCGAGAGCGAGAGCGAGAGAGAGCGAGAGCGAGAGAGAGAGAGAGAGAGAGAGCGAGAGCGAGAGCGAGAGAGAGATAGAGAGTGAGAGAGAGAGAGAGAGATAGAGAGAGAGATCGAGAGCGAGAGCGAGAGAGAGAGAGAGAGAGATAGAGAGCGAGATAGAGAGAGAGAGATCGAGAGAGAGAGAGCGAGAGAGAGAGCGAGAGAGCGAGAGAGAGAGAGAGATAGAGAGAGATAGAGAGAGATGATAGAGAGAGAAGAGAGGATAGGAGAGGAGAGAGATATAGAGAGAGAGAGAGAGAGAGAGATAGCGAGAGAGAGATAGCGAGCGAGAGAGAGCGAGATAGAGAGAGAGAGAGATCGAGAGAGAGAGCGAGAGCGAGAGCGAGAGCGAGAGAGAGAGAGAGAGAGAGAGAGAGAGAGAGAGAGAGAGAGAGAGAGAGAGAGAGAGAGAGAGAGAGAGAGAGAGGAGTGTAGTGTACTTCATAGGTTCCCTACCGAGACCATCTTCCCCTCAGAAGGCATGAAGGCAGGTCTGTTGCTGAGTCTCAGTTTGGTCTGCAGGGTGTTGAAGTTGATCTCCAGCTGGCACTTCTCCTGGACCTTAATATAATAATTATATATTTCACTTAGCAGACGTTTTAATCCAAAATGACTTAGTCACACAATCGCACATTGTTCGTATTATTATTAAACCTATTCAGGGAAGTCCCATTGTGACCGATGTCTCTTTTACACGAGTGCCCCGATTCATAAAATAGAAAGTACAGAATGAGGAATTAGTGACAATTATTATAACAATCCAAGTGGGTGTTGGCCCCCAGCAGGAATGGAACCTTGGGGGGCTTGTGCTGGCGGCGATAGTCCCTGAAGTCTTCCAGCTTCTGCTGCATAGCCTGCATGGTGTTCTCTGGGGCACGGTTCTCCAGCCACGGGATGGTGCGACGGATCCACTCCAAGAGCTATGGGGGATGGGGGGTGGAGGAGCAGGAAGAGAGAGGGGAGGTGGTGTGGAAGAGGAGAGGAGAGGCAGAGAGGGGGGGAAGGATAATTGGAGGAGAGGAGAGAGAGAGAGAGGAATGGGAGGATTGGTAGATGGTAAGGAGTGAGAGGGGACAGACATGGCAGGTATAGAAGGGACAGCAAGGAGTGGTAGAGCAGGTGAGGTTAACACAATGAGAAAAGGAATGGAAACAGAGACAGAGAGAGAGAGAGAGAGAGAGAGAGAGAGAGAGAGAGAGAGAGAGAGAGAGAGAGAGAGAGAGAGAGAGAGAGAGAGACTTTTGTTACTAATAGTGAATAACTAATAGATGTAGCACAGTGAGAATGTAAGAAGCTAATTCAATAAAGCACAATTCTACCTGCTGTTCTTATTTGTTAGCCTGGTCCCAGATCCGTTTGTGGTATCATTCCACCCACTCCTTGTCATGCCTAACATGATAGCAACAAACAGCCTGGGACCCGAGCGACTCATTTATTGCTTTACTCATATTTCTGATACTTACTCGTCACCCTAAAAATCTTGTGTTGTGTGACCTGGTGAGGTCTTAGTCTCTACACTGTCAGAGCAACCAGCCTCTGGGCTTAGGACAGAGAGTAAGGAGATGGGGATGCAGAGGCATTATTGGGAGGAGGACAGAGGAGGGGTGTGGTGCTCACATCACTAGCCAGCTTCTCGTAGTCCTCCATCAGCTGCTCATTCTCCTGGTTGACAGCCAGCACCTTGCAGATCCGATTGGCTGCTGTCTCCGCCTGGGGGAGGAAGGGGAAGGAACACAGTCAACACGTTCTATCATCGCCATGGGAACTGGTGCTGTTACTGTAGTCAGTCAAAACACATCATGGGTTGCATTGCAGAAAACTATCTAGATATCTAACTCTCTCTCTCTCCCTCTCTCTAGATATCTAACTCTCTCTCTCGATATCTAACTCTCTCTCTCCCTTTCTCTCTCTCTCTAGGCATCTAACTCTCTCTCTCTCTGTCTCTCTCTCTCTCTCTCTCTCTAGATATCTAACTCTCTCTCTCTCCCTCTCTCTAGATATCTAACTCTCTCTCTCGATATCTAACTCTCTCTCTCCCTTTCTCTCTCTCTCTAGGCATCTAACTCTCTCTCTCTCTCTGTCTCTCTCTCTCTCTCTCTCCCTCTCTCTAGATATCTAACTCTCTCTCTCTTGCTCCCTCTCTCTCCCGATATGTAACTCTCTCTTTCTAGATATCTAACTCTCTCTCTATATATACTGTATATCTAACTCTTTCTCCCTCTCTCTCTAGATATCTAACTAGAAACGTGTAGAATTGCAGGAAATTAGCTTTAAAAATGCCAAATGTTTTCTCCACCACATGGCAAAATGTTTAGTATTGCAGGAAATTAGCTTTAAAAATGCCAAATGTTTTCTCCACCACATGGCAAAATGTTTAGTATTGCAGGAAATTAGCTTTAAAACTGCAAAATGTTTTCTCCACCACATGGCAAAATGTTTAGAATTGCAGGAAATAAGCTTTAAAACTGCAAAATGTTCTCTCTGCCAACAAGAGGGGTGTGAACAGTTTGTGTCATGGACACTGCTTGTGCCCATAGAAATAACCCTAATCCTCCCCAATGATGGAAGGGGGAACCACTGTCCTAGGGCACATTCCTCTCTGCACCAGTGTCTTTTTATAGAATAGTATAATGTCATTCTATGGCCTGTCTCCACCTACATGCAGGTGCTGAGCTGCGTGAAACAGCCTACTGAGAGAAGAGAAGAGCAGCACTTCTATTACATGTCCTGTCTGCATTTATAACGTGTCCTGTCTGCATTTATAACGTGTCCTGTCTGTCTTTATAACATGTCCTGTCTGTCTTTATAACATGTCCTGTCTGTCTTTATAACATGTCCTGTCTGTCTTTATAACATGTCCTGTCTGTCTTTATAACATGTCCTGTCTGTCTTTATAACATGTCCTGTCTGTCTTTATAACGTGTCCTGTCTGTCTTTATAACATGTCCTGTCTGTCTTTATAACATGTCCTGTCTGTCTTTATAACATGTCCTGTCTGTCTTTATAACATGTCCTGTCTGTCTTTATAACATGTCCTGTCTTTATAACATGTCCTGTCTGTCTTTATAACATGTCCTGTCTGTCTTTATAACATGTCCTGTCTGTCTTTATAACATGTCCTGTCTGTCTTTATAACGTGTCCTGTCTGTCTTTATAACATGTCCTGTCTGTCTTTATAACGTGTCCTGTCTGTCTTTATAACGTGTCCTGTCTGTCTTTATAACATGTCCTGTCTGTCTTTATAACATGTCCTGTCTGTCTTTATAACGTGTCCTGTCTGTCTTTATAACATGTCCTGTCTGTCTTTATAACATGTCCTGTCTGTCTTTATAACATGTCCTGTCTGTCTTTATAACATGTCCTGTCTGTCTTTATAACATGTCCTGTCTGTCTTTATAACGTGTCCTGTCTGTCTTTATAACGTGTCCTGTCTGTCTTTATAACATGTCCTGTCTGTCTTTATAACGTGTCCTGTCTGTCTTTATAACATGTCCTGTCTGTCTTTATAACATGTCCTGTCTGTCTTTATAACATGTCCTGTCTTTATAACATGTCCTGTCTGTCTTTATTACATGTACATATTTCCTTATAGATTCATCAGAGACAGAGAGCGACATCCCTCTTCCATCAACAGGAGATGTTTTTTTTTGTTTTTGTTTTTTAAAAGATACAGTAAAGCTTACAGGCAAACATGCAGAATCAGAGGTTGCTGTTCGACTGTGTACATTTGTGTGTTGTACAAACGCAGCGTAATTGGACAGAAAATATTTTGCTCTGACTGCAGTGCTGCATCCAGAATCCCAAATAGACATACTAATGTAATGTCTCTAAGAGCAAGAAATGGCCTTCTGCCTCTGTACTGATTATACTCACATTACTTTCCCTATTAAACCCACTGATATTGCCCAACTACTTTTAATGATTTTTTTCATTGGCAAGATTAGCAAACTTAGGCATGACACGCCAGCAACAAATGCTGACACTACACATCCAAGTATATCTGCCCAATTTTTGAAAGACAAGCATTGTAACTTTGAATTCCGTAAAGTGAGTGTGGAAGAGGTGAAAAAAAGTATTGTTGTCGATCAACAGTGACAAGCCACCGGGGTTTGACAACTTGGATGGAAAATTACTGACGATAATAGTGGTCGATATTGCCACTCCTATTTGCCATATCTTCAATCTAAGCCTACTAGAAAGTGTGTGCCCTCAGGCCTGGAGGGAAGCAAAAGTCATTCCGCTACCCAAGAATAGTAAAGCCCCCTTTACTGGCTCAAATAGCCGACCAATCAGCCTGTTACCAACACTTAGTAAACTTTTGGAAAAAATTGTGTTTGACCAGATACAATGCTATTTTACAGTAAACAAATTGACAACAGACTTTCAGCACGCTTATAGGGAAGGACATTCAACAAACACAGCACTTATTGGTGGCTTGGGTGATTCATTGTATTGGTGGCTTGGGTGATTCATTGTATAGGTGGCTTGGATGATTCATTGTATTGGTGGCTTGGGTGATTAATTGTATTGGTGGCTTGGGTGATTCATTGTATTGGTGGCTTGGATGATTCATTGTATTGGTGGCTTGGGTGATTCATTGTATTGGTGGCTTGGGTGATTCATTGTATTGGTGGCTTGGGTGATTCATTGTATTGGTGGCTTGGGTGATTCATTGTATTGGTGGCTTGGGTGATTCATTGTATTGGTGGCTTGGGTGATTCATTGTATTGGTGGCTTGGATGATTCATTGTTTTGGTGGCTGGGTGATCATGTGTATTGGTGGTTGGATGATTCATTTGTATTGGTGGCTTGGATTGATTCATTGTTTGGTGGCTTGGGTGATTCAATGTATTGGGGCTGGGTGATTCATTGTATTGGTGGCTTATAATAATAATAATATGCCATTTAGCAGACGCTTTTATCAAAGCGACTTACAGTCATGGTGCATACATTTTTGTGTAGGGTGGTCCCGGGGGATCGAACCCCATACCTTGGCGTTACAAGCGCCGTGCTCTACCAGCTGAGCTACAGAGGACCACGGCTTGGGTGATTCATTGTATTGGTGGCTTGGATGATTCATTGTATTGGTGGCTTGGATGATTCATTGTATTGGTGGCTTGGATGATTCATTGTATTGGTGGCTTGGGTGATTCATTGTATTGGTAAATGTGATGTCTGTTGTTTGTATACTGTATACTCATGCCCTGCTGATCCATGGCCTGACATTGAGGACACTTAGGTACCATGCTGACTAATGGTTAATAGGCTTACTAAACATGGGATTATGGCTAAATGTGACTCATGGTACAGGCTAAACAGGGGAACACACTGTGACTCATGGTTTACCAGGTAAACAGGGGAACACACTGTGACTCATGGTTAAAGGCTCTAAACAGGGGGAACAACACTGTGATCATGGTTAACAGGCTAAAACGGGGGGGAACCACACTGTGAATCATGGGTTAACAGGCTAAACAGGGGAACACCCTGTGATCATGTTTACAGGCTACCAGGGGGACACACTGTTGACTCATGGTTAACAGGCTCTAAACAGGGGAACACACTGTGACTCTGGTTACAGGCTAAAAACGGGAACAAACACTGTGAACTCATGGTTACCAGGCTAAAACAGGGGAAACACTGTGACTCCTGGTGTTACCAGGGCTAAACAGGGGAAACACACTGTGACTCATGGTTACGGCTAAACAGGGGAACACACTGTGAACTCATGGGATTAACCAGGCTAAACAGGGAACACACTGTGACTCATGGTTTACCTAAACAGGGGAACACACTGTGACTCATGGTTAACAGGCTAAACAGGGGAACACACTGTGACTCATGGTTAACAGGCTAAACAGGGGGAACACACTGTGACTCATGGTTAACAGGCTAAACAGGGGAACACACTGTGGACTCATGGTTAACCAGGCTAAACAGGGGAACACACTGTGACTCATGGTTAACAGGCTAAACAGGGGAACACACTGTGACTCATGGTTACCAGGCTAAACAGGGGAACACACTGTGACTCATGGTTAACAGGCTAAACAGGGGAACACACTGTGACTCATGGTTTACCAGGCTAAACAGGGGAACACACTGTGACTCATGGTTACCAGGCTAAACAGGGGAACACACTGTGACTCATGGTTACCAGGCTAAACAGGGGAACACACTGTGACTCATGGTTAACAGGCTAAACAGGGGAACACACTGTGACTCATGGTTAACAGGCTAAACAGGGGAACACACTGTGACTCATGGTTAACAGGCTAAACAGGGGAACACACTGTGACTCATGGTTAACAGGCTAAACAGGGGGAACACACTGTGACTCATGGTTAACAGGCTAAACAGGGGAACACACTGTGACTCATGGTTACCAGGCTAAACAGGGGAACACACTGTGACTCATGGTTAACAGGCTAAACAGGGGAACACACTGTGACTCATGGTTAACAGGCTAAACAGGGGAACACACTGTGACTCATGGTTAACAGGCTAAACAGGGGAACACACTGTGACTCATGGTTACCAGGCTAAACAGGGGAACACACTGTGACTCATGGTTAACAGGCTAAACAGGGGAACACACTGTGACTCTGAGCGTCATCGAATGCCACGTGCCGTCACAAAGAGACACTGATACAAGCTGACTGCAGACTGCCACGACCGGCTTCCTATGAGTGGACCAATAGTTAGAGACGGTGGATGGTGTGGTATGGTTTGGTGATATAGTGGTATAGGACTAGGGTAGGATACAGTGGCGGTCGGTGCCGTTTAAGATTAGGGAGGACAATTATTGTTTTTATGAGTATGACCTTATTTCTATTACAGCATATTGGATGACTGTCATTCATATTCCATTCACTCAGCTCAATTTAACAGCGATGGGTTTAGGCTACTACATGATACTCTAATGTTCCCTATACCCATCATGAGGTTGCTACAACCTAGCCTATGAATTAAAGTTTACAACGTAGGTGCACAGGTCGAGATACATTTTAGTAATCAAGATGACAGACATTGACACATTCAATACCGCCTTGCACACTCTTGCCTGTAATCATTAGTCCAACAGTTGCAAATGAGAGTTTCTATTGGACAAACTCAGGTATGTTTATCCCAGTTTCATTCTGTTTGCTTCCGTTTAAACGTTTTTCAACAGAATTGGCGAAATGAATACACCCCTGATCACATGCAAACACAGTTCACTTCCATAGAAGCCACATACAAACAGCATGATCCCTTTGATCGTTGTATAATTATTTCTCGCATCTACGCGCTCTCCTCCTCTCACCTTTTCCCTTCGCTTGTGGACTTCAGTGCACAACACATCAGCGGTCTGTGACCAGGCGAAAAAACCTCTCCAAGCCAAACCTTCATATCATAACCGCTAACCGCTAACCACAGACTACCTACATCATTGTCACCATATTAGCTAATGTCATAGTCAACATAGCTACTAGAACTAACGTGTTAGTAAACCCACTACAATCACGCAGTACAGTGAGAGAGCATTTTAGCAGTTACACTGGCAGGCCCCGGTGACAATAAATGAATAAAACCAAAAGCTTACCTTGTTCCAGTGTTGGATAGCCATAGCCAGCTAGCTAACATAGCATACCTTTCTGTTTGAGTAGGCTAAACTAGCTAGCTGCATTCGCTAGCTAAGTAAGTGAAACTGAAAATAAATATGAAATATAGCTAGCTCTCTCTCTCTCTCTTGCTTCCCCTTCAGTGTTAAAAACTGTTCAACTATTGTCTTTCTCTCTCTTTGAGTCAACTACTCACCACATTTTATGCACTGCAGTACTAGCTAGCTGTAGCTTATGCTTTCAGTACTAGATTCATTCTCTGATCCTTTGATTGGGTGGACAACATGTCAGTTCATGCTGCAAGAGCTCTGATAGGTTGGAGGACGCCCTCCGGAAGTTGCGGAAGTTGTCATAATTACTATGTAAGTCTATGGAAGGGGGTGAGAACCACGAGCCTCCTAGGTTTTGTATTGAAGTCAATGTACCCAGAGGAGGACGGAAAGTAGCTGTCCTCCGGCTACACCATGGTGCTACCCTACAGAGTGCTGTTGAGGCTACTGTAGACCTTCATTGCAAAACAGTGTGTTTAAATCAATTATTTGGTGATAATGAATATATTTATTATCGTTTTATCTAAAAATGATAACTTTTTTAATGTTTCACTATTTTTATTTTTATGAAATTCACTGAAGATGGTCCTCCCCTTCCTCCTCTGAGGTACCTCCACTGGTAGGATAGTAGTAGAACTGATGAAGTGGTGATCTTCTAGTGGTATAGGGCTATCAAGGTATGACTATGGTGGTCTTGTCTAGTGGTAGTACCATAGTAGGACTATTGGCATGGTGGTGTAGTGGTAGGACTATTGGAAGGACTATGGTATGGTGGTGTAGTGGTAGGGCTATTGGAAGGACTATTGCATGGCGGTGTAGTGGTAGGGCTATTGGAAGGACTATTGCATGGCGGTGCAATGGTAGGACTATTGGAAGGACTATGGTATGGTGGTGCAGTGGTAGGGTTATTGGAAGGACTATTGCATGGCGGTGTAGTGGTAGGGCTATTGGAAGGACTATTGCATGGCGGTGCAATGGTAGGACTATTGGAAGGACTATGGTATGGCGGTCTAGTGTTAGGACTATTGGAAGGACTATGGTATGGTGGTGCAGTGGTAGGACTATGGCATGGCGGTGTAGTGGTAGGGCTATTGGAAGGACTATGGTATGGTGGTCTAGTGGTAGGACTATTGGAAGGACTATGGTATAGTGGTCTAGTGGTTGGACTATTGGAAGGACTATGGCATGGCGGTGTAGTGGTAGGGCTATTGGAAGGACTATTGCATGGCGGTGCAATGGTAGGACTATTGGAAGGACTATGGTATGGTGGTGCAGTGGTAGGGCTATTGGAAGGACTATTGCATGGCGGTGTAGTGGTAGGGCTATTGGAAGGACTATTGCATGGCGGTGCAATGGTAGGACTATTGGAAGGACTATGGTATGGCGGTCTAGTGTTAGGACTATTGGAAGGACTATGGTATGGTGGTGCAGTGGTAGGACTATTGGAAGGACTATGGCATGGCGGTGTAGTGGTAGGGCTATTGGAAGGACTATGGTATGGTGGTCTAGTGGTAGGACTATTGGAAGGACTATGGTATAGTGGTCTAGTGGTTGGACTATTGGAAGGACTATGGCCATCATACTCAACTCTGGACCTCGAAGCCAGTTCCACTGTTTCTTTCATCGTTCCCCTCTAATCAGGGACTGATTTAGACCTGGGAACACCATGTGTGTGCAATGAATTATCAGGTAGAACAGAAAACCAGCAGGCTCCGGGCCTCGTAGGGTAAGAGTTGAATACCCCTGGACTATGGTATGGTGGTCTAGGACTGGAAGGGATGAGAGAGCCAGGCCTGTGGTTTCGTAGCGTCAACCCCGCAGCAAACACACACTTACACACACCAACTGGTTGATGGAATGCTGAATAATGTTTTTTTTTTTCTCTTGCTTTGTTTGTTATTTTCCATATTATGTCTATCTCTGATTAGCTACCCAGGAAAGGGCTGAAAATAGCCCGTATTAATATATGTAGCCTTAGAAATAAGATTCATGAAATCAATAACTTGCTAACATCGGATAACATTAATATATTATCCATGTCTGAGACTCACTTAGATAATTCCTTTGATACAGCAGTAGCAATACAAGGATATAACATCTACAGAAGAGACAGGAATGCTTATGGGGGAGGTGTTGCTGTATATATTCAGAGCCATATTCCTGTAATGTTTAGAGAAGATCTCATGTCAAGTGTAATTGAAGTGTTGTGGTTGCAGGTATACCCTCCTCATCTAAAGCAAGTGCTAACAGTCAGTATCTAGAAAATGTGTGTGAAATGCTTGATAGTGTGATGTTAACAGAGAGGTCTATTTTCTGGGTGACCTGAACTTTGACTGGTTGGCAACTATCTGCCCTCTCAACAGGAAGCTTCTAACTGTGACTAATGCCTGTAATATGACCCATGTTATCACTCAACCAACTAGAGTGCATACCAATAGTGTTGGATCTGTGACATCCACTTGTATTGATCATATATTCACTAATGCTGCAGAGCTTTGCGCCAAAGCAATATCAGTTCCCATTGACTGTAGTGACCATAACATTGTGGCAATAACAAGGAAAGCCAAAATGCCAAAAGGTTGGGACTAAAGTAATTTTTAAGAGATCATACAACATTTTCTCAGGACTCTTGTTGAGGGTGTAAAAATGTATGTTGGTCTGATGTGTATGAGGAAGTGAATCCAGATGCAGTACTGGAAGTATTTTGTACAATTATTCACGCCAATTGTTGACCAGCATGCACCTGTTAAGAAACTAACTGAGAACTGTTTGAGCCCTCTGGATTGGTTCAAAGAAATTATGCAAAAGAGGTGGCAAACAAGTCAGGCTGCTCAGCTGATTGGTTGACACACTGTAAATTGAGAAACTTTGTGACTAAACGTAACAAAAATATAAATAAATGACGTTACCAAACCAAGATAAATGACATAAAACACAATGGAAAAATACTTTGGAGTACCTTAAATGATAACATGGGCAGAAAACCCAATTGATCTCCGTCGTTCATTGAAGTTGATGGGTGATTTATAACAAAACCTTTCGATATTGGCAATCATTTCATTGACTATTTCAGTAAAGTGGAAAACATTCAGAGGTGAAATGACAACATTGAATTATATTTTGGTATAAAATATCTAATAATGAAAGAGAAGGATTGCTGTTTTGAATTTGGTCAAGTACGTCTGGGAGAGGTGGAAAAAACGATTGTTATCCATCAATAATGATAAGCCACCAGGTATAGACAACCTTGATGGGAAACCATTGAGAATGGTAGCAGACTGTATTGCCACCCCTATTTGCTCCATCTTTAACCAAAGCCTAAAGGAGGGGGTGTGTCCACAGGCGTGGAAGGAAGCTAAAGTAATTCCACTGCCTAACAATAGTAAAGTGCCCTTTGCTGGCTCTAACAGCCACCCAATCAGTTTGCTGCGTGTTCTTATTAAACTAATGGAGAGAATTGTGTTTGACCATATACAATGCTATTTTACAGAGAACAAGTTAACTACTGACTTTCAGCATGCATATAGACAAGGGCACTCAACTTGTACTGCACTGGCTCAGATGACAGATGATTGGTTAAAATACATGAATAATACGTTGATAGTTGGAGCTGTAGTGTTATATTTCAGTGCAGCCTTTGATGTTATTGATCATAAATTGTTATTGAAAAAGATCACTTGCTATGGCTTTACATCACCTGCCATCACATGGTTGGAGAATTATTTATCCAATAGAACCCAGAGAGTGTTCTTCAGTGAAAGCTTCTTTAACATCAGATATGTACAGTGCGGCGTCCCTCAGGGCAGTTGCCTTGGGCCATTACGCTTCTCTATTTATACAAATGATTTTCCACTGGTCTCACACGAAGCTAGAATGACTATGTATGTGGATGATTCCACACTCTACATGCCACCACCCAAAGCCAGTGAGAACTCACTGAAATTCTAAGTAAGGAGTTACAGTCAGTATCAGAATGGGGGATTAATAATAAACTGGTCTTACAGTGCATTCGGAAAGTATTCAGACCCCTTGACTTTTTCCAAATTTTGTTACGTTATGGTCTTATTCTGAAATTGATTATTTTTGTACTTTTTTTAATCAATCTACACAATAACCCATAATGACAAAATATTAAAAATAAAAACACAGAAATACCTTATTTACATAAGTATTCAGACCCTTTCCTATGAGACTCGAAATTGAGCTCAGGTGCGTCCTGTTTCCATTGATCATCCTTGAGATGTTTCTACAACTTGATTGGAGTCCACCTGTGGTAAATTCAATTGTTTGAACATGATTTGGAAAGGCACACACCTGTCTATATAAGGTCCCACAGTTGACAGTGCATGTCAGAGCAAAACCAAGCCATGAGATCGAAGGAATTGTCCGTAGAGCTCTGAGACAGGATTGCGTCGAGGCACAGATCTGGGGAAGGGTACCAAAAAATGTCTGCTGCATTGAAGGTCCCCAAGAACACAGTGGCCTCCATCATTCTTAAATGGAAGAAGTTTGGAACCACCAAGACTCTTCCTAGAGCTGGCCGCCCAGCCAAACTGAGCAATCGGGGGAGAAGGGCCTTGGTCAGGGAGGTAACCAAGAACCTGATGGTCCCTCTGACAGAGCTCCAGAGTTCCTTTGTGGAGATGGGAGAACCTTCCAGAAGGACAACCATCTCTGCAACACTCCACCAATCCGGCCTTTATGGTAGAGTGGCCAGATGGAAGCCACTCCTCAGTAAAAGGCACATGACAGCCCGCATGGAGTTTGCCAAAAGGCACCTAAAGGACTCTCAGACAATGAAAAACAAGATTCTCTGGTCTGATGAAACCAAGATTGAACTCTTTGGCCTGAATGCCAAGCGTCAGGTCTGGAGGAAACCTGGCGCCATCCCTACGGTGAAGCATGGTGGTGGCAGCATCATGTTGTGGGGATGTTTTCAGCAGCAGGGACTGGGACACTAGTCAGGATTGAGGGAAAGATGAACGGAGCAACGTACAGAGAGATCCTTGATGAAAACCTGCTCCAGAGTGCTCAGGACCTCAGACTAGGGCGAAGGTTCACCTTCCAACAGGACAACGCCCCTAAGCACACAGCCAAGACAATGCAGGAGTAGCTTCGGGACAAGTCTCTAAATGTCCTTGAGTGGCCCAGCAAGAGCCCTGACTTGAACCCGATTGAACATCTCCGGAGAGACCTGAAAATAGCTGTGCAGCAACACTCCCCATCTAACCTGACAGAGCTTGAGAGGATCTGGAGAGAAGAATGGGAGAAACTCCCCAAATACAGGTGTGCCAAGCTTGTAGCGTCATACCCAACATAGTACTGAGTAAAGGGTGTGAATACTTATGTAAAGGTGATATTTCATTTATTTTTTATTTATTTTTTGCATTGTCATTATGGGGTATAGTGTGTAGATTGACGAGGGGAAAAAAACAATTTAATCAATTTTAGAATAAGGCTGTAACGTAACAAAATGTTGAAAAAGTTAAGGGGTCTGAACACTTTCCGAATGCACTGTAAATACATCTAAAACTAAAAGCATTGCATTTGGTTCAAAACATTCTCTTAAACTTCAGCTGGAGTTGTGCATAAAGGTTGTGACCATTGAGCAAGTTGAGGAAGCTAAACTCCTAGGTATAACATTGGATGGTCAATTATCATGGTCAAGTCATATTGACAAAGTTGTTGTGAAGACGGGGAGGGGTATGTCTGTTATAAAAATATGTTATGCATTTTTGAAGGCACTGGTCTTGTCCCATCCTGATTACTGTCCGTTAATATGGTCAAGTGCAGCAAAGAAAGACCTAGCAAAGCTGCAGCTGACTCAAAACAGAGCAGCACGCCTTGCCCTTAACTGCACATACAGAACTAACATCAACAACATGCATGACAGTCTTTCCTGGTTGAGGGTTGACGAGAGATTAACTGCTTCTCTTCTAGTTTTTATGAGAAATATTACTGTGAGGAAATTCTAGATTGCCTGCATAATCAAATAACATTCAGCTCAGACACCCATACACACCCCACAAGACATACCACCAGGGGTCTCTTCACAGTCCCCAAGTCCAAAACGAATTCACAGCAACGCACAGTACAATACAGAGCAATGACCGCATGGAACTCCCTTCCATCTCCAATTACTCAAGCAAAAACCAAAATGACCTTTAACAAAAAGATTAAACAACATTTCATAGAACGGTGGGGACTGTGAGGAGACGCACAAATACACGCACACACAGACACACATATAATTTGTTGTTTTATTGTTTGTATTATTATAATTTTTGTTGTTGTATTGTTTGTGTATTGTTGTATTTTACATTTGTGTGACTGTCCTTGTCTATCAGTGTACCACTGTTTTGTTACTTGTCATGTTTTGTTTTTTTGTGGACCCCAGTAAGAATAGCTGCTGCATCGGCAAACGCTAATGGGGATCCAGGTAAACCAATAAACCAATATTATGGTCCCCAGCGGTATAGGACTATTATGGTCCCTAGCATATAGGACTATTATGGTCCCTAGCATATAGGACTATTATGGTCCCTAGCATATAGGACTATTATGGTCCCCAACGGTATAGGACTATTATGGTCTCTAGCGGTATAGGACTATTATGGTCTCTAGCGGTATAGGACTATTATGGTCCCCAGCGGTATAGGACTATTATGGTCTCTAGCGGTATAGGACTATTATGGTCCCCAGTGGTATAGGACTATTATGGTCCCCAGCTGTATAGGACTATTATGGTCTCTAGCGGTATAGGACTATTATGGTCCCCAGTGGTATGGGACTATTATGGTCCCCAGCGGTATGGGACTATTATGGTCCCCAGCGGTATAGGACTATCATAGTCTAGCGGTATAGGACTATTATGGTCCCCAGCGATATAGGACTATTATGGTCCCCAGCGGTATAGGACTATTATGGTCTCTAGCAGTATAGGACTATTATGGTCCCCAGTGGTATGGGACTATTATGACCCCCAGCGGTATAGGACTATTATGGTCCCCAGCGGTATAGGACTATTATGGTCTCTAGCGGTATAGGACTATTATGGTCCCCAGTGGTATGGGACTATTATGGTCCCCAGTGGTATGGGACTATTATGGTCCCCAGCGGTATAGGACTATTATGGTCCCCAGTGGTATGGGACTATTATGGTCCCCAGCGGTATAGGACTATTATGGTCCCTAATGGTATAGGACTATTATGGTCCCCAGCGGCATAGGACTATTATGATCTCTAACGGTATAGGACTATTATGGTCCCCACTGGTATAGGACTATTATGGTCCCCTGTGGTATAGGACTATTATGGTCCCTAATGGTATAGGACTATTATGGTCTCTGGCGGTATAGGACTATTATGGTCTCTAACGGTATAGGACTATTATGGCCCCCAGTGGTATAGGACTATTAGGGTCTCTAACGGCATAGGACTATTATGGTTCCCAGCAGAATAGGACTATTATTGTCCCAAATGGTATAGGACTATTATGGTCTCCAGGACCATAGGACTATTATGGTCCCCAGCGGTATAGGACTATTATGGTCCCCAGCGGCATATGACTATTATGGTCCCTAATGGTATAGGGCTATTATGGCCCCCAGTGGTATATGACTATTATGGCCCCTGATGGTATAGGGCTATTATGGTCCCCAGTGGTATAGGACTATTAATGTCTCTGGTGGTATAGGACTATTATTGTCCCCAGCGGTATAGGACTATTATGGTCCCTGATGGTATAGGACTATTATGGTCTCTAGCAGTATAGGACTATTATGGTCTCTAGCGCTATAGGACTATTATGGTCCCCAGTGGTATAGGACTATTATGGTCCCTAATGGTATAGGACTATTATGGTCCCCAGTGGTATATAACTATTATGGTCCCCGATGGTATAGGACTATTATGTTCCCCAGCGGTATAGGACTATTATGGTCCCTAATGGTATAGGACTATTACGGTCCCTAGTGGTATAGGACTATTATGGTCCCTAGCGGCATAGGACTATTATGGTCCTAATGGTATAGGACTATTATGGTCCCTAATGGTATAGGACTATTATGGTCCCTAATGGTATAGGACTATTATGGTCCCTAGTGGTATAGGACTATTATGGTCCCTAGCGGCATAGGACTATTATGGTCCCTAATGGTATAGGACTATTACGGTCACCAGTGGTATAGGACTATTATGGTCCCTAATGGTATAGGACTATTATGGTCCCTAATGGTATAGGACTATTATGGTCCCTAATGGTATAGGACTATTATGGTCCCTAATGGTATAGGACTATTATGGTCCCCTGTTGTATAGGACTATTATGGTCCCTAATGGTATAGGAGTATTATGGTCTCTAGCGTATAGCACTATGATGGTCCCTAACAGTATAGGACTATTACGGTCCCCTGTTGTATAGGACTATTATGGTCCCTAATGGTATAGGACTATTATGGTCTCTAGCGTATAGCACTATTATGGTCCCTAACAGTATAGGACTATTATGTTCCCCTGTTGTATAGGACTATTATGGTCCCTAATGGTATAGGACTATTATGGTCTCTAGCGTATAGCACTATTATGGTCCCTAGTGGTATAGGACTATTATGGTCCCTAATGGTATAGGACTATTATGGTCCCTAGTGGTATAGGACTATTATGGTCCCTAATGGTATAGGACTATTATGGCCCCTAACAGTATAGGACTATTATGGTCCCCTGTCGTATAGGACTATTATGGTCCCTAATGGTATAGGACTATTATGGTCTCTAGCGTATAGCACTATTATGGTCCCTAGTGGTATAGGACTATTATGGTCCCTAACAGTATAGGACTATTATGGTCCCTGCAATATAGGACTATTATGGTCTCTAACAGTATAGGACTATTATGGTCCCTGCAATATAGGACTATTATGGTCTCTAACGAATAGGACTATTATGGCCCCTAGCTTATTGGACTATTATGGTCTCTAGCGACATAGGACTATTATGGTCTCTAGCGTATAGGACTAGTATGGTCTCTAGTGGAATAGCATTATTATGGTCTCTAGTGGTACAATACTTTTGGTATGGTGGTCTTCTAGTGGTCTAGAAGGACTAGAAACTAGAGGGAGGAGCTCACCTTCTGCTTGCCTGAGAAGGCGTGGTAATAACACGACACATAAGTCATGATGGCCTTCTCATCCGGCCTCAACGTGCTAACGATGTCTGCCCAGGGAACAGATGGAGGAGGAGCAGGAGAGAGGGAAGGAGAGAGGGGAAGAGAGAGAGAAGCGCAGAGTAAAAGTGTGCAGAGACAAAAGGTTCCAGCAGGTGGAGCAGTACAGTCAGTCACCAGGGAGAGAGGAGACAACAGGCACCAGTCTGACCAGGTTGTCAGACACCAGGGAGAGAGGAGACAACAGGCACCAGTCTGTCAGACACCAGGGAGAGAGGAGACAACAGGCACCAGTCTGTCAGACACCAGGGAGAGAGGAGACAACAGGCACCAGTCTGTCAGACACCAGGGAGAGAGGAGACAACAGGCACCAGTCTGACCAGGTTGTCAGACACCAGGGAGAGAGGAGACAACAGGCACCAGTCTGTCAGACACCAGGGAGAGAGGAGACAACAGGCACCAGTCTGTCAGACACCAGGGAGAGAGGAGACAACAGGCACCAGTCTGACCAGGTTGTCAGACACCAGGGAGAGAGGAGACAACAGGCACCAGTCTGTCAGACACCAGGGAGAGAGGAGACCGGTCGTCATCTACTGGCTGACCAGTTGGTTGGTTTGTTAGTTTATCTGTCTGTTTGTATCCTATTAGCGGTTTAGCTGTTATAGTCCCAATGGCTACTATTCCTGGTGTCACCACAAAACAGGTGGGGTGGGAGTTGGCTCTTTCACATTTAGTAATATTTCTGACTGTATTCATCATGCTTGTCGATAACACTAGCGTTCATCTGTCTGATGTAGGCTTCTTTATACAGTCATCTGAGGTAACATGACTTTCACTACATGCCATAATAAAGGAAGGCAGCGTCTGAATCCTCTCTTCCAATTAGAAACAGAGATCCTCTGGTCTCTCTGCTGCCTGACTGCTGTGTTGTACTCTTTAGTTCCGGTCCTGTCCAGTGAAATGAGCCCTTATATAATTGCACAATAACGTTACATACTGAAGGATAACATGACATACTGAAGGATAACATTATATACTGAAGGATAACGTTACATACTGAAGGATAATGTTACATACTGAAGGATAACATTATATACTGAAGGATAATGTTACATACTGAAGGATAACGTTACATACTGAAGGATAACATTATATACTGAAGGATAACGTTACATACTGAAGGATAACGTTACACACTGAAGGATAACGTTACATACTGAAGGATAACGTTACACACTGAAGGATAACGTTACACACTGAAGGATAACATTACATACTGAAGGATAACGTTACATACTGAAGGATAACGTTACATACTGAAGGATAACGTTACATACTGAAGGATAACGTTACATACTGAAGGATAACGTTACACACTGAAGGATAACGTTACATACTGAAGGATAACGTTACATACTGAAGGATAACATTACATACTGAAGGATAATGTTACATACTGAAGGATAACGTTACATACTGAAGAATAACATTACATACTGAAGGATAACATTACATACTGAAGGATAACGTTACATACTGAAGGATAACGTTACATACTGAAGAATAACATTACATACTGCAGGATAACATTACATACTGAAGAATAACATTACATACTGAAGGATAACATTACATACTGAAGGATAACATTACATACTGAAGGATAACATTACATACTGAAGGATAACGTTACATACTGAAGAATAACATTACATACTGAAGGATAACATTACATACTGAAGGATAACGTTACACACTGAAGGATAATGTTACACACTGTTGGATAACATTACACACTGTAGGATAACGTTACACACTGAAGGATAACGTTACATACTGAAGGATAACGTTACATACTGAAGAATAACGTTACATACTGAAGGATAACATTACATTCTGAAGGATAACGTTACATACTGAAGGATAACATTACATACTGAAGGATAACGTTACATACTGAAGGATAACGTTACATACTGAAGGATAACGTTACATACTGAAGGATAACGTTACATACTGAAGATAACGTTACAATACTGAAGGATAACGTTACATACTGAAGGATAGTTACATACTGAAGGATAACTTACACACTGAAGGATAACGTTACCACACTGTTGGATAACATTACACACTGTAGGATAACGTACACACTGAAGGATAACGTTACATACTGAAGGATAACGTTACATACTGAAGAATAACGTTACATACTGAAGGATAACATTACATTCTGAAGGATAACGTTACATACTGAAGGATAACATTACATACTGAAGGATAACGTTACATACTGAAGGATAACATTACATACTGAAGGATAACATTACATACTGAAGGATAACATTACATACTGAAGGATAACGTTACATACTGAAGGATAACATTACATACTGAAGGATAACGTTACATACTGAAGAATAACATTACATACTGCAGGATAACATTACATACTGAAGGATAACGTTACATACTGAATGATAACGTTACATACTGAAGGATAACGTTACATACTGAAGGATAACATTACATACTGAAGGATAACATTACACACTGAAGGATAACGTTACATACTGAAGGATAACGTTACATACTGAAGAATAACGTTACATACTGAAGGATAACATTACATTCTGAAGGATAACGTTACATACTGAAGGATAACATTACATACTGAAGGATAACATTACATACTGAAGGATAACATTACATACTGAAGGATAACATTACATACTGAAGGATAACGTTACATACTGAAGGATAACATTACATACTGAAGGATAACGTTACATACTGAAGAATAACATCACATACTGAAGGATAACGTTACATACTGAAGGATAACATTACATACTGAAGGATAACGTTACATACTGAAGAATAACATTACATACTGAAGGATAACGTTACATACTGAAGAATAACATTACATACTGAAGGATAACGTTACATACTGAAGGATAACGTTACATACTGAAGGATAACGTTACATACTGAAGAATAACGTTACATACTGAAGGATAACATTACATTCTGAAGGATAACGTTACATACTGAAGGATAACATTACATACTGAAGGATAACGTTACATACTGAAGGATAACGTTACATACTGAAGGATAACATTACATACTGAAGGATAACGTTACATACTGAAGGATATCCTTTGACTCCCTGTGTCCCCTATCCTCCCGGCCGGCTCGGCCCTCCCCTCCAGCTCCGTGGCTTGATGACTCATTGCGAGCTCACAGAACAGAGCTCCGGGCAGCTGAGCGGAAATGGAAGTAAACTAAACTCCCAGCCGACCTGGCATCTTTTCACTCCCTCCTCTCTACATTTTCTTCATCTGTTTCTGCTGCTAAGGCCACTTTCTACCACTCTAAATTCCAAGCATCTGCCTCTAACCCTAGGAAGCTCTTTGCCACATTCTCCTCACTGCTGAATCCTCCCCCCCCCCCCCCCTCTCTGTGGATGACTTTGTCAACCACTTTGAAAAGAAGGTTGACGACATCCGATCCTCGTTTGTTAAGTCTAATGACACTAATGGTCCTGCTCACACTGCCCTACCCTATGCTTTGACTTCTTTCTCCCCTCTCTCTCCAGATAAAATCTTGCGACTAGTGACTGCAGGCCGCCCAACAACCTGCCCGCTTGACCCCATCCCCTCCTCTCTTCTCCAGACCATCTCCGGTGACCTTCTCCCCTACCTCACCTCGCTGATCAACTCATCCTTGACCGCTGGCCATGTCCCTTCCGTCTTCAAGAGAGCGAGAGTTGCACCCCTTCTCAAAAAACCAACACTCGATCCCACTGATGTCAACAACTACAGACCAGTATCCCTTCTTTCTTTTCTTTCCAAAACTATTGAGCGTGCCGTCTTTAGCCAACTCTCTTGCTATCTCTCTCAGAATGACCTTCTTGATCCAAACCAGTCAGGTTTCAGGACTGGTCATTCAACTGAGACTGCTCTTCTCTGTGTCACGGAGGCTCTCCGCACTGCTAAAGCTAACTCTCTCTCCTCTGCTCTTGTCCTTCTAGACCTGTCTGCTGCCTTTGATACAGTGAACCATCAGATCCTCCTCTCCACCCTCTCCGAGCTGGGCATCTCCGGCGCGGCTCACTCCTGGATTGCGTCCTACCTGACCGGTCGCTCCTACCAAGTGGCGTGGCGAGAAGCTGTCTCCGCACCACGTGCTCTCACCACTGGTGTCCCCCAGGGCTCAGTTCTAGGCCCTCTCCTTTTCTCCCTATACACCAAGTCACTTGGCTCTGTCATATCCTCACATGGCCTCTCCTATCATTGCTACGCTGACGATACACAACTGTTGTGAACCGCTGTGGTTCACAACAATTCTGATTTCTAAAGGCGGAAGTTGGGAGAGTTTTTGTTCGGGTGGTTCAGTGAAACAATTTTAGTTTCTGAGGTAGAAGTTTTTGGTGAGGGAGGCCCTGCTCTCTCCGCTCCCAGATGCTTAGCTCATTTCATTCCGATCTCCTCTGCATTTTTGTAGCCATTTGCTACAGCCTGTCAACTATGCCTCTGCCTATCCCTGTTCTCTCCTCTCTGCACAGGCTACACAAACGCACCACACCGCGTGGCTGCTGCCTCTCTAACCTGGTGGTCCCTGCACGCACCACCCACGTGGAGTTCCAGGTCGCAGGCAGCCTCTGGAACTGCCGTTCTGCTGCCAACAAAGCTGACTTCATCCCAGCCTATGCCAACCTCCAGTCCCTCGACTTCCTGGCGCTGACGGAAACATGGATCACCACTGAAAACACTGCTACTCCTACTGCTCTCTCCTCGTCTGACCATGTGTTTCTCGCATACCCCGAGAGCATCTGGTCAGAGGGGTGGTGGTACAGGAATCCTCATCTCTCCCAAGTGGACATTCTCAATTTTCCCCTAACCCATCTGTCTATCTCCTCATTTGAATTCCATGCTGTCACAGTCACTAGCCCATTTAAGCTTAATATCCTTGTCATCTATCGCCCTCCAGGTTCCCTTGGAGAGTTCATCAATGAGCTTGACGCCTTGATAAGTTTCTTCCC